TAGATATTACCCATCTAAATTTCATATTTTCATAAATAGGTTTATGTATTATTTATTTATATTATAGATTTTCGATAATGTTTTGAAAACTGTAGAGTACTTAAAATGTAATCGAGGGGAAACGGGAACACTAAAGTGTCGATGGAGTATTGAAGGAAAAAATGCGATTACGATCTTGTTTAGAAAGTCACATTTCGAGTATTTTATTATTCAATTTTTTTTATTTATTTTTTACCAAAGCGTTTACTGTCACCACCTATGGTGCGACGTTAATGCAGTCGTCGAGTGCTGTCGTTTAACATGACAACATGGTACAAACAAAATACACATTGTACGCGCAAAACAATACAAAATGCTTTGTATTGTGTACGCATAATGTAGCCGAAAGGGTGCAAAGCAAAAGGGGTAAAATGCACGCAAAATATAATATAATATAGCTGAACATAATGTGGTATTTTTATCTGCGTTCAGTGTTATTGTTGCAGCGTCCCGCGCCGTTATCCCTTATTTTATACAAATGATAAACGCTATTATATTTAGAACGCGCTGGAATAAGAAACAAATAAAATACCAAGTCTAATAAATTATCAGCTAATGGGAAAGGATGAGTGTGGTAGTGTTGTATTGGTCTGTAAACTGCATTATACCGAAATCCTGTAGCAAAGAGAACGCTTTAGAGAGGCCTACAATAGCTAGAAAGATCTTATTTGGGCCATGGTGCGCTTATTTCTAGGTGCTGATTTTAGTCACACTGATAACTTATATTGTTAATTAAATATTATATAATTTATCAGTGGTAGGATAAGAAAATTTGGTATACCTACCTATCTTTTTTCCAAATTAGTGTCAATACTAAAATTTTAAAACTTATTTTGTGGTTTTCTATAAATATTATTAAAAAAATGTATGATACTAGGCACTAGCAACTTAAAACTGAAACAAAAATTGACTTTTGGTTTACAGTATATATTATGAATTATGTTGAGTACAAAGAGGGGGAAAAGGAGATTTAAAAAAAATTACAAAAGGTGACATATTAACTTCTACTATCTTACCACGTATTTATAATTCAAAATTTATACCGGGCCTTACTAAATATATAGTATTTTAGATAAAACTTATAATTAAGTTAATAATATATACTTAATATTCTGTTATGTTATCTCAATTAATACAGTCGAAAATTTTATGTATTCAGTAAAGTTAACAATAAAATAAGGCTGACACATATATAGATATTATTGTCGTTGTAAATTAAATATTGTCTTAGTGGAAAAAATATACTCTATACTGACAAGATTTTAAAAAGACAGAAAAAAAAATTTGGTTGTATCTATAAAAAGAAATTGATTGATTAAGTGAAAAAAGTAATTATACAGTTCACTCTGGCAAATTGTGTAAACTAAAATATTAAACTCGACTATAAAATAAAATAAAAATTGTCTATTTTGTCCCAGTGAAATAAAAAAACTCGTATTAATAAACATTTTTGTTTCGTTTTTTTACTAAACTCTTTTTAAATTAAAAAAACGGCCACTGTAGAGTTATTTTTTTTATAACCAGTTGAACATTTATCGAAGGAAAACCCCGGAAGAGCCTCTTGTGAGATTCGGTTTTAAGTTTTAATAACTTAGGTTCACAGACCAAGACACAGTGCGCACTGTAGAAGGTACATGGAAGTTATTAGGTAGCGATTATTTTGCATTCCACGGTATTTTTGGGTTAACGACCGTACCTGTACTCCGGCGGTGTCCTAGTCGTCGAGCAAAAATCGTGCGGTAAAAAAACAAAATCAATGATTATTAAGTTTATACAAATTCGCCACGTTGTTCGTTTTGCGTGTCACCATCTCTCGTTGTAAGCACAGGCTCTGGACACTGATAAAAATGAACACTGGGAAGACAGTGTTCACACATTAACGAAGCGGCCATGTTCTAAACCTGCTATAATCATAATTAAATTATATCCTTACACGTTATTATTTTTTTGTTGTGTATAGTTGCAATTTATTGTATTATAACCTGCTATAATTGTGATTATAGCCGGTTTAGATGACATTACCACGTCGACACGTTAAGAGGACTGCATGCGGTAGGTTTTTTTAGTCAAAACACATAATTTTTATTCCATTGCACAGACCGAACCAGTGATCCGATAAGCAATCTAAAAACAGATTTGAATTCGCCATGAAGTTTACTTATGATCGGTCAGGGTACTTTTTCAATTTTTTATTTTAACCCTCTCCAAATTTGATTTTTAAATTTTTAATTTAATATAATGTTCAAACCTGTTTTATACGTAGTTGGAATAAGATATCAGAAAAGTACCCTGACCGATCATAAGTAAACTGTATGGTGAACTCAAATCTGTTTTCAGATTACTTATCGGATCACTTGTTCAGCTTGTGCGATGGAACAAAAACTGTATGTCATGTTAACTAAAATGGTTTTTACTCATAACGGAATAATTTAAATTAAAAATAATACCATGAAGCTTATACAAATTAACCGTTGAATTAATTGACATATTCGAAATTTATTAAAACCACTTTTTTCTTAAATATTGCCAATACAAAACTCCTTAAAAACCAACCGCATGCAATCCCCTTAACACAAATCGAAAGTGTTTAGGCTCGCTTGGCTAAATTATGTTTTTCGTTTTAGGCACTGTAAAAACCTTTTCTCTAATCCTTTCTGTCGTTGCACGAAAGCGGGCTTCAGTTTGATACATAAATTATAATAATATAATTATTTATATGTATATTCATAATATTATAATGCAGGGGAAACCGAAGCGGTGAGTTTGATCGACAGTTGGCGAAACATTACCGGCGGAGACGTCAAGCTGTGAACGCATCTGTTGCGGCGCGTTATCACCCGTGTACGCGCGCACACACACACACACACGACAAAGCTGCTGCGACGCCCACGACAAACACACAGCCTTATGTATTTTATAAATACAACAACAATAATGATATATCCGTACAAGCTGCCGGACGGATGGTTAAAGTCGCCGGACCCCCACACGTATGAACGCGTTGCCACCCGCTGCGGGTACGACGTGGCAGTTACCCGGAAACGCGTTTTCGGCCAATTACCCGCCCCACAGCCCCCACTGGGGAGAAGACGCCTGCTGAGAGCACATGTAAATATCCGCAGAGCATAATACATTTTGTCCACTCCAACCCCGTCCATCCACCTTTGCTCACCCCTGTCATCTCGGTAAAACACAATAATAAAATAATAATATACCGCTGAATTTATCTGTCTTTCAGGTGTCGACAAAACTTCGAAAAATTCCTTTGACTTGTGAGTACCTATCTCAAAAACAAGGATCAAAAGTGTTCTAGAACTTTTCAAAAAGTTTAATTTTAGATTTGATGCGAAGATGCGCTATTTTAATAGTTATCATTGAAACAGTCACTCAAATATTATTAAAAATAAAAATTCCGTTAAAACTCTTATAAATAAATGTTGTAGAATAACAGTTTAACAGGAACTTGATAAACAATTTAAAATTATGAGTTATTTGAGAAGCAAGAATTTTTAAAAATACGACAGTATAACATATTTTATTTCAATTATTATTATAGGTATACACTATAAAATAGTATACTATAGTGTATATATTTTTTTATAAGTAATATTATTTTTGAAATGTTTAATTTGTTTTTGCACAATTTATCTGTTATCAGGTATTTTTGGGCATCAAATATAAATAAAAAATTAAGCAAACCGCGAGGCCAGTAAAATGTAAAAATACCATCATATTCAGGTTGAAAAAAAATTAATATGAAAAAAAGACTTTAGCCTTAAATTTAATTTAATATGCTAGTAAGACATCTTTTATTGTAAACAAAAAGTACATTTTTTTGCTAAATAAAAATGTGTATACTTTTTTAACTGAATTTATAAGTTTATAGAAGAATCGTTTAAGTTTTAAACTTCAATCTGCCTTTGTCCCTCCAAATAATTTGACATTTGGGCAGTATTTTAATCACTTTCATATTTTTTAATAAACCCTGAAATGACCACCTCGAACTGCTGATTTTTACTGTACTGTTCGTTTAAAGATGATTAAGGTGATATAGGTAATAGAAGTAGATTTAAAGATTTGCAATACATTGGAAAGTACTGTTTGGCACCCAATCACCATTCATTTAATTTCATATAATAAGATGTAAAAAAAACTTCATTAAAACAATTTAACGCTCCATTTTAACATCTTATCTGTCTATTTATTTGCTGTTGGTTTAAAGATAAATGTATTCTGATCATACATCAATATGTAGGTGCTCTACCTAATCATTATATTTAAGTACTTTACCACTGTAAGTTTATTGCTTTATTGAGAAGTCAATAATGAATTTTAACTTTCACAGTGATAGTTACAATACCTTGATTTTTCATCTGTACCTGATAATGTTTGGAGGTATTTGACCATATTCTCAATCGATTAAAATTCATATCTGATCTAGATGTTACTTTGAACGACATTAAACATTTAAATTTTAAATAGCACTCCTTCCTCTTTTTAACCTAATTTTTGGAATTCTTCTTCTACACCAAAATTTGCTATCGGAACATCTCCAAAAAAAATTTAGCTACTTTCGAATCCTGTGGTCGGACAAGTCAAAATTTCAAAGGAATATCTATTTATTATTAGACCTGTTCCATCTAAGTTACAAATAATTAAAATTAGAGATTGGAGTCTGTAATTCATTATTATAATTATTAATAATTAAATTGTTGTAAAAACTTATAATGCTGTGTAAATAATACCTAATTAGTAATTATTATAGTTATCATATTTTATAGAACTGAATAATACCAAAATAATATATTAATTATAGAATCTGGTGGTGCTATCTAACGTTAAAAATTATCGTATGACCGTAATTTTTGAGCCACTATTGTTGGCAACACTGTTCTTATTTCAACCTCGGGACACAATGGTAGTGGTAACTGCCCAAACAGTAAACTACTGATAGGTAATCGATGCTGAACTGAAAGCGTAAACAAATCAAATAGTTCTAGTAAAGTGGTGAATACAAAATCATTAAATGAGGAACGCTTTACCGACAATTTAAATTCAAAACTGCAATTTGCGTTCAAGTTAATCCGAATAGAAAAAGTTAATTTTTTAACTGTCGATGTAATTTAATTGAAGTTCTCAGTGGGCTTTCTTTTATTTGTGTGAATTGGTTGTTGAATCATGGCCTTAAGAACGTACGGCGATAAACCTATTAGTTTTCAAGTAGAAGAGAATGGCGAATACTATTGTATTGGATCAGAGGTATGTACCTACTGGGTGTTGAACTCCTCGAATGTTGAGTAATTAATATTGACAATGCTGTGCTTTATCGTTAAATTTAACAGGTCGGGAATTACCTTAGACTCTTCCGAGGATCATTGTATAAACGTTATCCAGGCATGTTCCGTCGAACAATTACAAATGAAGAAAGAAAACGGTTGATGGATCTCGGTAAATTATCATTGTTTTTGTCGTTAATTATGGAATTAAAATTTCTATTTACTTTGTTATCACTTAGGCTTGAGTGCTCATTGCTTGGCTTCCAGTGTGTCATTGTTGAAGGCATCAGAAGTTGAAGATATTATTGATGGAAATGATGAACGGTACAAAGCAGTATCGGTTACTTCTACCGAACCATTAATCGCTAGGTAATAAGAATTTATGATACACAAGTTATTTTTCACCCTTATGTGAGCCCATTATAAATAAAGTTGTGAAATTCATTGTTTTGTTGAAAATAGAGATATGGGGGGAGCTATTTTTGAAACCAATAGAGCGGGGTTGGTACACGAAGAGTTCGATTAGTCATATTTCCTGTATGAACGAAAAAGTGTATTCAAATTATGACCACAAGGCAGAAACAATAAAAAACCCTCATTTTTCTCTAATTGAGAAAAACTATTTTCTAAGTCCCAGTCTTAGTGTTTTTGTATTATGGTCCAAAACTTTACAACCCGATTGTGGCGAGGGAACCATCGTTTTGCATGGGTGTCAGTTTCTACTAAAACTACAAGGTCTTGGGGAGGCCAACCTTAACTCATGTTTGACCACCATGTGGGTTTCATCGTTTTTGCTTTGTGGTCTTCAAATGTTAATGTTACTTATATATTATGTTTATTAAAACTTGTTACCTACTTAAACAATTATTATATTTCTCTATATAGAGAAGCTAAAGGCAAAAAATCTGCACCTTGGGTACCATCATTGCCGAATAGTTCTCATTTGGACGCTGTTCCACAGGCAACACCTATTAACCGTAACAGAATAATACAAAAAAAAATCAGAACTTTTCCTTTATGGTTAGTATTTCAAGTAAATAATTCCTACAGAATTATCTTTATTTAGATCAGGTTTATTTTTATAATTTATGTTGTAGTTTTGATGATACCGATCCGGCAAATATTTATGAAAATGCCAACTTTTCAGAACTACTAGTTCCCATTAGACTTGATATGGAAATTGAAGGACAAAAATTAAGAGATACATTCACATGGAATAAAAATGGTGCTCAACTCTTGTTATTTAAATATTGTCATTGAATAATATTAACAATATATTTTTTATTTTAGAAACCTTAATTACTCCAGAACAGTTTGCTGAAGTTCTCTGTGATGATTTGGATTTAAACCCATTACCTTTTGTCCCGGCCATTGCACAATCCATACGGCAACAAATTGAAGCTTTCCACAATGACAATATTTTAGACGAACACGATCAAAGAGTAATAATTAAGGTATTTATATTTTTCTTTTTAAGCTGAAATTTGAATTGATAACAATATATTTATTTTTTTAAATATTCATAGTTAAACATTCATGTGGGTAATACGTCACTAGTCGATCAAGTAGAGTGGGACATGGGCGAAAAGGACAACTCACCGGAACAATTTGCAATGAAGCTGTGTGCTGAACTTGGTCTCGGCGGAGAATTTGTAACGGCCATCGCTTATTCCATTCGAGGACAGTTAAGCTGGCACCAGCGAACCTATGCCTTCAGGTAATCGATTATAGACGTTGTTAGCTTTACAAGTAATAAATTTACATACTATTTATTTTTACAACTAGTGAAGCACCATTATCTGTAGTGGAAACACCGTTCAGACCACCATCGGATGCTGACCAATGGAGCCCATTCTTAGAAACATTAACCGATGCAGAAATGGAAAAGAAGATCAGAGATCAAGACAGAAATACAAGGCAAGCACCCATTATATTATCCTTCCTTTTTTTTTTTTTTTTTTACATAAATGTAAATACTTTTCACTAATACGTAATTGTATGCATTATTCTAGGCGTATGCGACGATTGGCCAACACTACACCAGGATGGTAATAAGAATCATTATTAAGTATTTTAAATAGTAAGTAACGAGGAATAAATTTCCCTGAAATACTGTAGTGGCGTATGTTGATGTGAACTAAGTTTTGATGCATTTTGTTTGTTTAATTTGTATACTGTGTAGTGTATACTATGTTTGTGAACAAATTAATTTCTTTAACTTTTAGATTAATATTTTAATCACATTTTTCACCAGGACTCATTAAGTATTTAACAAGACTAATTATGCAATAATCCTGGAAATTTAATTGTAACCCATTTACAAATTTTGGACAATGAAGAATTAATTGAAGTAATATTAGTTAATACAATAACAGCTTAAAATTACATTCCGTGTAAAGTGACAATGTAAAAGCTATTCAATTAAAAATTAAAAGTATATTTTATACATAAATGTATACTAATACTAGATAGCCGTCTATCCCCTAATTTCAGTAAAACGATTGAAACACATGACCAAAATGGAAAACTAGGTTACCAAACCATAAAAAAAAAAAAATATTTTAAATTATATTATTTTAACAAATATTAGGCCAGTTTGGTTGTTGTTCTTTTAATGGTTTGTTTACTGTGTTTTTCATTTTTGAATATGACTTCATGTTTCAGTGATACCTGGGAGGCATTCTTTTGATATTAATTGGCTTTAGAACAACTGTTAACTGTTAATTGTGACAATTGTTGAGGTTAGATTTATGTCACCAAAGTCTGAGTTGAAGTGAAATTATATACACTATTTTAAAATAATAAATAACTAATAATGTGTAAGTATGTAATGTATAATTTGAATTAAAATATTATTTTACTTCATGTTTTTATTTAATTTTTCATTTGTTTATAAATTGATTATTAACAGTGGTACTCGCTTAAAATCCTTACCATTTATTGTATTATTATATATCATACACCTATATCAAATCTGTAACAACTCAACAAGTTTGTATTTTTAGTTATTTGTATATGTATACTTGTATTCTACAAACGAAGTTGCATGAACCAACAAAACAAATTTAAATTTATCTTGATTACTCTCCAAAATATGGCATTGTTGGGACCTTTTGTAAAAATGACTAATCCCATAATCCTAACTACCAAAAGCATTTAAAACTTTAGTTTCTGTCCGGACATCAAGCGGAATGCACATATGTTGGTTGTACAAAACTGTTTTATTCAAATAAACAGTTAAAGTAATTAAACTTGAAATTACGTTTTTTTGGGATTTCTGAAATAAGGTGTTTTTTGAGTTGCTACAGTTTTGATCTAGGTGTGCGATATATAAAATAGACAATATACAATTCACAGTATTCATTTAAACTAGTAATATAGTGCTAAATTCTCTTTTAATTTCTTGTTAAATTTTAATATTCATTATTGCCTAATAAAAAAAAATAGTTCTTCAATATATTTAATACTATAATTTTGTAACAACCCTTTTCTAAAGATAATTTTTATCTAGATCTTGAAATGGAATACTAAAAGTTTCTAAAAGGGCAACCTTTTAGAAACTTTTAGTATTCCATTTGCAATTTAGTTCCATTATAAAAAAAAATCTGCATATATTTCTTTAAAAACAAAATAAGTTGTATAAAGCAGGGATTGAAAGCATTACAAAATCATTATTTGTTTGTTATTACTACAACTATTGTTGATTAATATGATAACCAACTTTTGTTGTAGTTATAAGAAATAGTGTACATTTTGGTTTGGTGTCAATCCCTTAAGTAAAGAAACCAATTTGCATACGCCGCTATTAACTAAAACATATGACCTTAAGAATTGTTGAATGTGTTTTCAAATAATTAAAAAAAAAATTATTTTTTTAATAAATTTTATGTTTATTAAAATTATTAAACATATCATATCATACACAACTTTTTGTTTGTTTAGGAAATAATCGTACAAAACATAATTAAAATAAGTAAATTAATCATAAATTACTATTATGAACATATTACATTAGTATCACACTTAAAAGAAAACTAAATAAATTGTTTCTTGTTACTCGTATTTAAATAATAGAGCATTTAAAAGTACATATTTTTATTAATTATTTCTTCTCTTATTTATTTGCCTAGCAGCAAGTTAACACGCCTTCCGTGAGAATAAAACAGTCGTCTGAGAAAAAATTATGCCACCAGTCACCACGTCAAAGTTCCATCTCGTCGTCTTCAACTGCAATGCATCTAAATATGTTTTTATTATTATTACTAATGATTCATCAATATTAAATTGTAGTTATAAATGTTAAGACTTTAATATATGTAAAGAGAATATTACAATATTGAAAATTAATTTGTGACTAACTAATAAATAAACAATTATTTGTGAAATAAGCAAACAACCATTTAGTATTAACTATCAAATAGTAAACATACACACAAAACAAAGTTTCTACTTATAAAAATAAATTAATTTAACATGCGAGTGAGAATAATGTATTTTTGATAAACTAAATTGAATAATTTAGGATTTTTTCGTTTTATTTACAATATTTTTTTTTTAATAAAATTTAAACTGCATGCTAAAACTTACGGTTCAGCTTCCATAACATTTTCATCGTTTGGAAGAATTTCATCTTCATCTGTAATTTCTGTAATTACAACAGTAGATTTTGGTTCTTCATAATTATCACCAAGAGTGCGAACAAAGTCCAATATAGGTTGTGGCTTCCATATGGCAACGGCATTATTTGGCCTTCCTCTAAATATATAAAATTATACAGTATAGGGGAAAATTTTTTTTTTTTTTTTCATTTACTTACATAGATAAATATGGTTGGGGTATGATGGAATTAAATTTTTTTAGTTTTCGTAATTCCTCACACATAACTAGAGTAGTCTGAGATTTTCCTTCTGGTTCACCGGTAGGTACAATGCTCATAAGTTCTACATTTTCTGGATTCTGTTAAACATTTAAATTAGTTTCATAATTAAGTATGAAAATGGTTTATAAAAACTCACTCCAGGTGGTTCGCTTATATTACTGCCAAGACTATAATTATGCAACTTAAAATCATTGCTTATATGCATGTCTCGTAAACTAGCCGATACTTTTTCTTCAGTAATTCTCATTTTAGGTGGTTGCAAAGGTCTACAAATAAAATTATTATATTTAATGTTAAATACTATAGAACATTTTAATAATTAAAATATTACAAATATTTTTAACTTTATATTTCTCTATAAACACTTGTTTTACTTGGATGAATTAAAATTTTTTTTACAAATGCTTTTTTTCCTTTCTTGGTTCTTCATTCCAAGATTAGCGTTAACTAAGATTTGTTTTACCTATACTACTAAGTATATTACTTCATATAATATTAAAATGTTGTGCACTCGACCAATTTACTATTTACTTGCCGCTTCAAAATTTGCATAACCTAATAAGCTGTCTCATAAACATGCCAGGAGTTCAAAACTAACTGACTGACTTATAAGTCTTGAGTATAAAAATATGAATAAATCACTTACTCAGCATCCAACTCAATTTTTCGTTTTGGAACTGACCCAAAATTCTTTTGATGAAATACTGTTGTATCTAATGGCTGTGGGTTACTTGAGCCTGTAAATCTACAATTTAACAAAAACAAATTCTTAAGTGAAACATTTTTACATAACAGAAATTGTTATTGGTTCTTTACACTCACTTCATTACTTCTGAACTACTCGTATTAGCCCAACTGTACATGGGTGGAGTTGCAGAAGAGAAGGTGTAAGGAAACTGATAATTTGGTGTAAACGACGAACATCCGTTTTGATTGTACTCCATGTTAAAGGCTGCCTGTGGTTGAAACCCCGCATTGGCCTGATTTTTGGCTATGCCATCTGGTAAGTATCCACGTTTAAACATTGTCTTGTTCACTATAATATTGAGATTGTTTACAATACACATCACATTTCTTTAAACACTATACAATAGATTAGGAACATAAAGATCTGATCCGTGTTACCTGCAGCAATTGGATCGCAAGAGGCAAGTGGAAAGCTAATGAGTTAAATAGTCTATAATTTCGTGAATGTTATATTATAAAGGCTGTCTCTTAAGTAAGGCTATAATTTTTGAATTCCGGATATAGGTAGGAAATAACGATTTACCAATTTATTTTTATACAATTCAAGTATACAATATTTAAATAACAAACTGCAATACTTAATACTTATTGTAGACGGATTACAATGTGCTGTAAATTGCAATTGTAATTTGTAAATAATAATAAACGCATGAGTTTATCAGTATTCAGTGTGTTATCAGTTATCACTAACATGGAATTGGTGAACGTTGAATTCTGATTGGTCGAGTCAACTTGAGAGTTTCAAAGCCAAATTCTAGAATCCTCTTCTCAATTCTAGGTTTCTTATGAGAGAACAGCAGCTGGAAACCTGGACTAATCACAGTGAAATGTGAATATAATGAATATAATCTGCTTCCCGGCTCTCAATATCTAATACAATTGTATTGCATTTATTCTAGTATCCCGAGTTTTCGGATTACGGTTTACCTACCTTTAATCTTTATTCCAGTTAACATGAATTTTTGGATTACGGAATTTTTTGCTTCGACTGGAAGCTGAGGAGATATTGTTATTTTTACAATAATATGTTATATTAAATTTTTTTGTAACTGGATCCACGATATCTCCTTAACTGCCGTACCGGTTTCTTTATGTTTCAAGATTGCAGATCATAAATTGTACCTGTAAGATACTTTAAGGCCAAACATAAAAAAGTACCCCCCTTCTTCAAAATCACTACAAATGTTTTATGGTTAAAGTAGAGAGATGAAAACTTTATTTTTATCACTTTTCGAGCGTATTTTAGGGACTCGGATCTAAAAATTAGACTGAAGTTACATCAACTACCGCAGCAAAGAACGTCGGACCTCGATTTTTATGCATTTTGAGCTGATAACGAATGAAAAAAGTATTTCCGAAAATCGGTCTAGGAGTACAAGAACTTTGTAAATGAGTAAATAAAAAAATTAGATTAGGAAAATAAAATTAAAATTTGTTTTCTCAAGACGTTTTGGCTCTTTTCGAAAATTGCAAAAATTAAGTTACGAATTTCTTTGTTGCGGCAGTCGATAACTCACATAATGGATTTTTTTTGTAAACCTGTAATTATAGATTAATCTATTAATGAATCAATTCGACCCATTGGAATTATATTATGTCGTATGATCCAAGGCTTGTGAGTTGTGAGTCCGAACTCCGAAGTAGCTTGATGTCTGTATGTCAATGGTTTGAGGTAAAAAAAATATGTTTATAGTGGTCACACTGTTGACACTCGCCAAAGAAGTTAGAAGCAAAATATACATATTTTAACCTATAATATTATATCAAGAGTTAAACACTGTGTTGTCTTCGTGTTCGGTGTGTTGCAGTTCTTCTCTTGAAATTGTATTTCGTGTGCTGTTTCTCATTTCAGTTTCTTCGTTTTAAGAAGAAATAATGGTAAGTTACAATGGAATTGTTAATTAATTCGTATTAATTATTATAATACTTCAAACAGTTATGATCATTTATAGTATTAAATACATTATATTACATTAAATCTAAAATCTAATAAATTGTGATTAGTACATTCGGTAAACCATGTGACTGAGTTGTAAAAATCATTTATGGATGCTTTGAGTCTGTTATTTCAAACGTTAAAATGGTTTAACAAATTGTTTAAATTATCCTTTGGCGTTCGAATAAAATAAATATAATTTTTTTGAAACATTTTTTCATTCAATGTTTGTGTTATATTTCCTACAATCATAAGCCAAACTCCATTCGTATTTTATTTAAATTTAATATTAATAATTTATTTTCTGTTCTAGACTACCAGCAAGAAGAAGACTAGGAAGTTGCGAGGACATGTAAGTCATGGTCACGGTCGTGTAGGTGAGTTTCTCTTTAAATCAAATTATAATTGTGTTCTATTAAGTGAACTGCACCATTTGATCAGCAAAACAACTAGAATCTAGTGTTTGGTTATAAAGTTGGTGCTAAAAAAAAATTATATTATTTTCTTTAGAGCTGGTTTTATTATTAAAAAAAATCAATTGAAAATTATATAAACATGTGTATTTAACAATAAAATTCTTGCTATTTGTCATTAGAAAATATGCGCATGCGTGAAATTAAATGTATCCCAGTTAATTGTAAAATGTAGTCCTGAATCGCCAAAATAACTTTTTTTCCAAAATAAATTTATATATATATAACCAATATGATGATAAATAAAATGTTTAGCGACAGGCGGTCTGAAGTACAACATTTTATGTGGCCATAATTGTTCTGATTGGATAATTTAGCTTATTATTATTACTGCTAATTGATTGTCCATTAAATTGGAATTAGTCAAATTTCTTTGTTCTAGGGTATTAAAACGTTAATATTTAATAAAGTTTTATTCCATGGGTATAATGAATTTAGACCAAGCTCAATTTATTGAGATTCTTTTATTGATAACTATTTTTATTGATAAACAGTATTCATATTTATTATAGTAAGTGACATTTTTACATTACAGGTAAACATAGGAAACATCCTGGAGGTAGAGGTAATGCTGGTGGTATGCATCATCACAGAATAAACTTCGACAAGTACCATCCTGGGTATTTTGGAAAGGTAATTTATAAGCATATTTTAAAATAAATCAAATTATATTTTGTTAATTTTAATTTTTAGTTGGGTATGCGTAACTATCATTTGAGAAGAAATTCCAAATGGTGTCCTGCCATTAATCTAGAGCAACTTTACACACTGGTACCAGAAAAGACAAGACGAAAGTATGAAAATGACAAAGAAAAAGCAGTTGTTATCGATGTTGTTCAAAAGGTAAAATACCTTTTTATATTATTTTATTTGTTAGAATAAAATAAAACCATAATGATGAAAAATTAAATGTTTAGCGACAGGCGGTCTGAAGTACAATTTACATGTTGCAAATTTAATTCTGATTGGTGGAAACTAATTAATTTTTACTTGTTCTTATTGTTGTTCTCTTAAAAAAATGTAACTTTATCTTACAATTATTTTTTCTTAGGGTTATTACAAAGTTTTGGGCAAGGGAAGTCTTCCCAAGCAACCACTTATCGTGAAAGCGAAATTCTTTTCAAAGGTTGCTGAACAGAAAATCAAGAAAGTTGGTGGTGCCTGTGTACTTCAAGCTTAACACTTGTATATGTATGAATGACCATAATTATATTGTTTAAATATAATAAAAACAATTGCTTTTTTTTTAAAAACAAACTAAGCTAGACTATACTTTTCTTTGCAATTAAAATATAATTATGTACTCTATCCCATTTGTAAAAGATAGTGCGTAAAAACCAAAACGCATCACTCCTGGCTGCACAGGTGCATATGGAGTAATGCCTTTTGGTTTCTGCACACTAACCTTTCTTATAATGGCATAGAGTATTGATATATGTTAAATTATCCTTGGTATGTTTAGTACTGGACTAGATTAAATAAGTTTATTGTGTAATAATTTGGCTAAAAACTAAGTAAAAAATAAATATTTTGATAAATAGTTGGAACGGCTTAAGTAGCCCTCTCTAAAAAAAATGTTTTCTTGACGGATTTGCAATTCAGGAAGGGTTGTCAGTCTGTCGCCAGAAAAGGCTCTTTATTACCAGACGGTTTCTCATCCACCAAAAAAAAACCCAGTCATACTGGTGTCTATACATTTGAAGAACATTTTTTATTTAATCTGAATTCTTAATTAAATTATATGTCAACTCAAATCGAGTGTTAGCATTAAAAAAAAGTAGTTCTGTTGCACTAACCAGCATACCGAAGTTAAAAGTATAAATAGTCTTATATAATGCACAAAAACACCTTCGGTTAAAACTATCCGCGCTTGTTTGGATGCATTGTACATTTTGTTACCAGGATTAACCGAATATGAATGACCTGTCAAGCTACATAATGAAGTTATATAATAAATAAATCTGACTTTTAAATGAGCGAGGCCGTAGCGCTAGTGACAATGTAAAATTCTAAAAAAGCACCATTTCCAAAATATATTTCTATGATTCAACTTTCTAGGGGCATATTACTGAATATTGTGTGTACCAACTTATAATAAATCAATGTTTACTATTAAATAAAACTTTTTAGAAACCAATCATTTCTATTAAAGAACTTCTACCACATCCCCTATTTTTATTATCAGACAATTTCTAAAAAAATACTGCGAGTTTAGTAAAGAAGTGCATCTGTGCTTTTAGCTCTGTGGACTTTAAACAGGTATACGGCAATATTATCAGAGAAAAATTATGGGCAACGCAGGAAAAATTTGGCATACCAACCAAATTGATCCATCTGGTAAAATAGTGCAATACCGAAACGTACTGTAAATTAAAATTCGAGAATAATCTGTCTAAAAGTTTTGAAGTTGGGACTGGTCTGCCGTCTGAGCCAGAACATAATTTTGGCATATGCAGATGACATCGTCATAATAAGTAGCTCCCGAAATGAAGTTAAAATAATGTTAAAAAGTCAATCAAGAAAAAATAAAATATTTAGTTATATCAAGGGAAATGAGTGATGAAACTGATCAACAAGTTGATGGGCATGTCTTCCAGCAAGTAACAGACTTCAGGTACCTAAGAAGTTATATAAACAATACAAAAACAATATGCACAACGAAATTTAGTTGTGAATTGCGTCAGGAGACAAAGGATATTACACACTAGGAACAATTTATTAAATCGAAACTCCTATCCAAAAGATCAAACGAATACCTATATTCCAGCTATTTACTCCCGGTAATTGACATATGGGTGTGAAACCTGGTCAGTAACTAAATGAGATGAGGAAAAGATAGACATCTCTGAAAGAAGAGAACTACGCCGAATATATGGCCCTATAATTAGCAACGGAGAATATAGAAAACGGACAAACCAAGAAATTTACAAACTACTCCAAAAACCCAATATCAGTGCGTATTTAAAAAGTATAAGATTAGAATGGTCATATTTGGAGGTCTGAACTCTTAAGGTATAGCAAACAACATTGTTACTGGTGACTGAACGGTAAAAGGCCTAGGGATCGCCTTAGACACAAATGGGCAGAAAAGGTAGACAGATCTCGCTAAAATCTCACAAGGAACAAGAAGACAGAACTAGGCGGAGAGGAGTGGTTGAGGCAGCAAAGATCCTACATGGGCTGGGAAAGAAAAAAAGTTCCTTTTGTTTCTACTATTATTTTGGATGCTTGTAATTTTTTTTTTTCAAGTCGATTCTTAATAGTAATACCTATTTATATACATTATACGTCCGTAGTCGACTTTTTTTTTTCATAAATTTGTAGGCTGTAGCTTTCCTAGATACATGCCGCTGCTTCCAACACATTGCAATTGATTACTTCTAGCCAGTTTTCCGTTTTACCATCTTTGTTATGCATACAAAAATGTATGTAAAATCGAAAACCAGGTAATTTTTGTTTAGAAACCTAGTTAAAGTTTACGGTTTACCTATATAGTGTGTAAAAAATATAATCAATAATTGTTTTATTTTTATATCGCTAAAATATGGATTTAAATACATATTTTAAAAGTTTCGTTAAACTTCATTCACACTTGGCAGTTGTCTAGTGTTACGTACCTACCTATAACCTTATATAATTAAAAACTATGACCTGGATGGGATATAGAGTTGAAAACTATATCAAATTTAAGCTAACTATATTAATTGTGAAATTATGAAAAAAATTTTATAAAAGTCGGCCCACTTTTGCCCATAACCTATTATTGTTATCTAAAAATACAAAACCCGTTTTTGCACAACGTCTAATTTACGACGATCTGCACCATCACCTCACTATTATCTCTAAAGTTATTGTACCTTATTTGAGTCAAAACTGTCAGGCTTTTACAATAGCTTTTAAGACCATCCAAATTCTAAGGTGCTAAATACTAAAAATCCATCTGAAGGAAGTACTTGTAACTTTTATCACTACGCAGACAGAACACCATGAATACAACTACTATGTTATCCACTACATTCAGTATGTAATTAAATATTTGACACACTATATATTTAGACTCTCTAGACAATTATTTTTTCGATAAATGAGTATGTTATATTTTAATTTTACGTTATTGTGTGTTCAGGTATTGTGTTTTTCTGTTCTTTGATATCCATCACAACACAACAAGAAGACTCGTCAGTCCATCTCCGCACTATATTGAAAAAATACGGCATTGAGTGCGAAGAAGAGGCGTTAGTCAGTCTCGACACTTTATTGAAGGATGGCCCCATTGTGAATGAAAGAGACTTTATAGCTGTTTATTACTCTACATTCGATAATTACAATTTCGAAGTATCCTACAACCTACGACGTAGAGGAAGAATTGAAGAGTTTCTTAATTATTGTAATACGGGTTGGGTTCATCTGCATTGGTTATGGATTAGCCTACAAGTCTTACAGAAGCTGCAAAAAATGGAGCGAGGACAAAGAAGTATATCCTGTTTAAACTTACTTGAAAAAAAATGTATCTAGAGTTCCTATAAATATTATGTATTTTGCCACTTATTTCCCATCTGTTCTAATAATACTAAAGAATATCTAAATTATACTGTTACCTTGTTTAGTTTACTTGTTATTGTTGTTTTATATAATTATACTTTATATAGAGAAAGAGAGATATTATTTTATTATTTACAATTTATTTAAAAAATAAAATAATCACATAAGCACACTAAAAGAATATTCCGTTTGAATTTCAACACGATCCGACCATTTTCTTTGAAACTATAGCTAGTAAAAGTTGAACATTATAAACTCGTACAGTTTTTCTCAATTTTAAAGGAAGAAGTTAATTTTTCTACTTTTACTCCTCCCCTCCCAACTTTGAGGAGGCAAGGTAAAAACTAGATAAAATTTGTGATTTATACAGTTGCTAATCGAAGAAATTGGTCCAGTATTAAAGAAGTTACAGTAAGTACAGACTAAAAAAAAAAAGCTCTTATCATAGTAAAACCAATGGGCCCCTCAGCTCCGCATCAAAGCTAATTAGCTAATTTATTAATTTAAATAAATATAATTTGTTTACAGAACATACAATAATTCACACATAAAATCATTGCAAAAAAATTTGGGATTCTTTGTTGTGTACCCTTAAGCACTTTGTACTTAGTGCAGTACTTATTTTATAATACAATTTTTTTATTTAACAGGAACACTATTGTATTATTGGTAACTGTCAAATTACCATAGAGAGTTATGATGAAACTTTAAGTCCTTTTTTACAGATTTACCATCTTTATTTATTTCAAAGTCATTTGAGTTTTCGGGATGTGGATTTACTTCTCTAAACTGATTTTCAACACTAAAAAAACAAAAAAAAAATTAAACATTTTGATATATATATATATATAATTTTCTTTAATATTTAAGAGCTTTGCTCTACAAGTTAGTTTTTTTACGCATTTTATGATTTTTCTCAATTTTCATAAGATATATTACATACAATGACTATAAATTTAATTCATTGCGAGACACCCTCCCTGAAATTTTCCTACTTGTATTGCTGTTTTTCGCTAATCATTTTCCTGTTATTGAAATGATTATCCTTAATTTAAAATTTATAGCCACAAAATTAGTTTTGAAATAGTGTTAGAATAAAAAAATGTGGCATATCAGAAAAAGGTTTATATACATTTGTTATATTTAGTTTTTTTTTTTGTTGTAGAACTTTTAACTAAATTCTATGATAAGTAGTTTTGTTCCAGTTTGATGCTGATATTAATATTTTCTTAATGAATCATTTCTGTAATTATTTTAGATTCTAGGTCCATAATGAAATTGTATTGTCAGAAAGTATTTTTGTACTTACATGTTAGTATTACTGCAATATTTGTACTTCATGCTCACAGCATTCCCATCTCCTTGAAGGATCTAAATATAAAATGGATTCAAATATGTATTCAACTTTAATTTTAACACAAATTCTAATATAATTTACTTCGCCCATTGTATCGTGATGCTTATGAGCTCCGTGGCGGCCAAACGCTGGTTGTCTTTTGTATGCTGCAGCTCTAAAAATTATAACTTTTTTAGCCTGAATAAAATACAAATATATAAAAGTCACTATTTAATGTTTTATTGTAAAATTTTTATACTAGTAAATCATATCTGAATGATAACTTCACAATATTTAAAAATAATTATATTAGAATCTGGTTTCTTTACATTAAACATTAATATTATTAATATAAAATTAAATGGCACAGACACATAGTATTAGTGTTTTTTTTTTAAATTTCAAACAACTAATAAATTGAATTACTTTGTCATTTATTTAAAAAAGTATAAAAATATTGTGTGTTCTGTATACAACAATTTAAATATAACATAAGGCAAAACAACCTCTAATGTTCTAAATTATAGTAACTTAAAATATGAAGTTTTTCTGGGTGCGTATTAAAAAATAAGTAAAATATTCTTACCGATCTTTATTAATGTTTCCATCAGCTACAAAAAATCATTTATAGGTTAAAAAAATAGCTTGTACTAAATTAACTTGATTAATGTCTTACTCGTTTCATCAAAAAACTCTTCAAAAATAACAAAGTTGTTTCCTTGATTTACCAATTTAGACAAATTGTAGTGTTTCCACATAAACTGTAATAATTTGTTTGTTGGTTTATCAATAGCCAAATCTTTTGCCTCCAAATTAGTATCCTAAATAGCATTTCATTATTATTACAGTACTGTTATAAAAACAATTATAATTTTATATATTTATTATGTTTTACAATTAGCAATATTATATAGTAGGCAAACTGTGTAATAAATCTAAATTAGAAATTTAAATACAACTATTACAGTTCTTATACCTTTAACATAAATTCAAGAAGACGTTTCCCATAACCCTTGCGCTGCCTTGTTTCATGAATGTAAAAGTCTAATAAACAATAAACCATTGTCTCCGAGCAGGAACCAACTTTGTTATAAACATATAACTTTTTCCAGCCCATTTTCATTATTCCTACCACAGCAAAGTGTCTAAATGAGGGTAAGAAATATCAAAAATAAAAAAATTATAATTACTTCTAAATAGTTGTACTTGCCTATACTGAAACTAAAAACAAAACAAAATAAATTTAAAAAATAGTAATTATATTGCTGATGGCATAATTTGAAAATGTGTATGCACAACAATTAGTTACTCTGCAATACTTAAAATATATTATTAGAGTAAGAACTCTTATAACGTACATAATTTTTTCCAAAATCTGTAAGGGAAAACAAGAAGAAAAAAAGAGAAATTTTTTACTTTGACTGTAGTCAATTTTAAGATGCTCTGAGTGAGTGAATCAATAGTCAACAGGTTTTGAAAATATTTTCATTATATTGTTAATTACAATTTATTATTTTATACAGTTAATCAACCCTACTCGTATCCACACTAACACTAAAAATACATTTTAAAGCACGTTATTGTCATTAAAAACAATGCATTTATTTGAAAGGAATTTTATCACTTTGAGTTGTAATAATTTATATACATCTGTGACCTCCTCTGCTTCAATATGCCCTGCATATTTATAATAATAACATTTTTATAATAAAAGAAAATGTATATAATGTTTTTACCCTTCTTTTAAATGTTCTGTCATCACATAAAGTATGTGATCAGAGTTGACTAGTTTTTCAGCACTGGTTACAGGTGATTTTAGCTCTTGAGCTACAGCTGATGCATTACCCATGCCATCAACAATCAATCCCACCATTTTTTGTAATCTATAAAATTGTTAACCATTCGAACATTAGATATAAATTCTTAGTTAATGTTAGTTAAAATACACAATTAATTTAACTATTTTTTTTATAAAAAAAAACTTCAAATTAAAAACACTTACTCCGCTTTTTTTTTGCATCCAAGAACTGTCAGTGTATGGTCTATTTTCAAGATTTCTTCAGTTGCTATATCACTAATGTCAAATTTAAATTCCATTACAGGCAAGATGTTATTTCAAATTAAGTTAACGAATTATTAAATCACAAGACCAAAAAGTTCTGCGTTATCACTTATCACGTCACGCAGTAAAAATACTAAAAAAAAGTTATAATGAAATTCATTAAATTTATTTGATTAAATATGTAATAGGTATGTAACCGTATGTTTTTATATCCGAACGATTCCTACTAAATTTAGATAATTTAAACTTAACATTTTTCAATTTCTAAACGTATCTTCAGAGGCCGAGCTTAGTGCTATCTAGTATCTATATACTTATCATCCGGAATTTCTCTAGTTAAGAGTTTTAAATTTGATAATAAGTCAGTACCAACACAATATAACAAAAATACCTAATATTCAACTCAGGCAACAGATTAATTTATTCAATTTATATTAAATAATTTATCACAACCATGATTTGCAATCCGTTATTTTCTACATTTTTGTGGGTTTTTTTTGCTGTTTAAATACTTCTTCTAGTATTGGTTAGTACCAATATTGAATAGTACCAACATTGGAAAAATAAATTTAAGTATCTTAACTCAATACTAAATACTAAACAGTAAATATATGAAAATAATTTATCTTTTATTTACAAAATGACAAATACATTGACGTGGAAACCATCATATTGTACAAAATAATAGTGTTAAGCGATTAATAATAATAGATAATAATTTTAGTATCACGAATGACGACTATTATTGGTGTCCGTACTATTGTCTGACAATTCAGAGTGTTGGCTCGAACTATGATGGCGTGATTGTTTTTTTGATTTCTTCGATTTGTGCTTATGTTTTGATCGTCTTCGACTACGGTCCCTTTTATGGTCTTTTGAAGAACTATGACGTTTGGAATGAGATCTTTTAGATCGTCTTCGACTTCTTTCTTTATCCCGAGATGAATAGCGCCTAGTTTTTAGAAGAATTATTTATGATGAAAAATTATCATAGTTCATATTACAAACAAATTTCTCTTTTCGTTATATAATTATTTATCAATAATTATTCATAGAATTAACTTTGAAATTTGAAAATTCTATTAATTAAAAATTGATCTTGTATTATTAATTGTTATGATGGTATTCAAAGCAATAGTTCTATTCGTTAAACATTTTATATTTTCAAGAAAAAAGTTAGTAACATTAGAGCTTTGCATCAAAAATTTATTTTTGGATAATTGAATGGCAATACGCAGAAAGCAACCAACCCACAAAAAAAAATAATTGAGATTTCAGTTTAACTAATATAGTTGATTACTTTCTGCATAATGCCATTCAATTGACCTTTTTTTTTTTTTACTGCATTGATATGAACTTACTCAGGAGATTTTTCTTTGACTTCGTCGTAGCGCTTAATTCGCTTGTAAAAATCTTTTTCTTTCTCATAATCCTCCGCTCGTTTGCGTTTCTCCTCCTTTGGCGTTTCTAACATAATACATAAAAAGGTAAAATATTAAATTGTTTACAATAATACATCAATATATATATATATATATTATAAATATTATAAATATAATGACAAAAAGCAAATGTGTTAAAATATTTTAGTTTTTAAAAAAAAATAATTATTACCTTGTAGCCGGGATTGTAATGATAATTTTAGTTTTTTGTCACCATTTACTTCTTTATAACTGATTACATCTTCATCGCTAAAACGAAGGAATAATTAAAATCCCTTAATACAGTGGTTTAATGAAGAAAAAATAAATTAAGCAATAACACACCTAGAACCAATTGAAATCACATCTAGTCCTTTGGAACTTCCACTATTTGCAATTTGAACATCATTAGGAGTTACACCATTTTTTTCATTAGTCTCTAAAGTTTGTTTCGTAGCAATTATTACAGAATTTGTTACCGATGAATCTAAGTATTACAATAATTTTTTAGTTAGTTATGTTTTTATGATGAATCAAATCCAAACCAATCTTATAATCATTTTTCTACTAAGTAGAATCAAAACAAAAACCGAAAAACAAATTAAACCAGGATAAAATTAAAAGAATATATGTTATTTGATGTACAAATGAGACTAATTAGTACAATCTATCTTGAGGCCAAAAAATGATTGGATCTTTAAGATTTCTTTGAGATGTTTGGATTTCCAAATTAAAAAGAAATATCAAATACTTAGTAGATTGATTTAAAAATTGATAGTATGAAGTTTGGTTTGAATAGTTCTTTAGGTCAATATTTATGTTTTTTATTTTATGACAATTATACAAAAAAAATGCATACTGTCAACAGGGATTGCAGTTGTGGTTGAACATTTCTCGTCGTCTATATTGTTAAAAGAATTTTTACTTAATGAAGAAACAATTTTCATAGACGCTAAAAATTGTGCAGCTTTTCTTTTTCTTTCTGCTTGAATTTTTTCCTTTTCCTTTTTGGTACGTTCTCGTTCTATTGAAGCAAGCTTTTCTTTTGCTGCCATGGTTATTTTGTCTTTTATTCTGTCTTCATCTGAAATGTAGTTTAAATATTAGATAATTATAAAACTATCATAAAGGAAAAAAAATGTGTTAATTGAACATTTTCAAAATTATCAACCAGTTCATGAAAGGTTTAAAAAGATTATTGAAGATAAATAATTTGTATACTTATAATAGGTATAAATATAAATACAATAAGTAATAATATTACCTAATTTAGCAGCATTTTTCTTAAGTGCTTTGACATTTAGATTGCTTGCTTTACTATGATCATCCCGTTCTATTTTATCTGGGTGATCTTTTTTACGCTCATCATCGCTAATCTCATTACCACTGTCTTCTAACGCACTCTTTTTTATTTCAATAGGTTCTGCTTCTTTTTGTTTTTTTAATGAAAAACAAACAGGCACTAAAATCATTTGATAAATTAATGTATATAGAACGATAATTATTAAGATAAAAACCATAAACAATGTTTAATAAAAGATGCTATCTTAAGGGCGTCCCATGGATAACACCATTCAATTTTTAACCAAAAAGCATGTATTTTATATTATTACTTTCGGAAATGACATTTTTAATATGTCCCTTTCCCGTATAGCCTACACTAGTTAATTCTATGGGTGAAGGTGGCGATAACTTTTTGACACACTTCTCCATCAATTTGATTAGTTACACCAGAAATTCTTGTTTAAGTGTTTCATAATATATAGAGATTTGTTGACTTAAACAAGAGATTTTACATGCCCTCGAGAAAGTAATAATACAGTGTCACATCATATGGCCTGGCAGGCCATTCCTGGTTGCCAAGAATTGAAATTATGTTTCTGGAAAAGTTATTGCGAGCATCACCTATAGTATAAATGCTTGAAGTCTGTAGGCTAAACAGGGAGGAACATGTTGAAAATATCATTTTTAAATAGTTTTTTTTTCTGAATATAATAATGTAAAATACACCCTTTTTCATCAAAAATTAAATGTGTTATTACATTTTTTAATAATAATAATAAGTGACTGAAACTAAAATTTAAAAGAATTGTGTGTAAGAGAGATGTGAACACTTTTATATCATACTATTGTTGACAACGTCTTCGAGTCGCATAAGAAGTATTCACATCAAAAATTAAATTAAATATAAGTTTAATAGTTACATTTAGAATTGGTTTTGGAATCTGCAGTAACTTTTGGGGGAGCTGTCTGTTCTAAACGTTTAATAGTTGCATATAGTTTGAGCTTTTGCAGATAATAAGCATTGAAACAATCATCAGGTTCTAAAAACTTTAGCCTTGGATCCTCTGTTTAGACACAAACACAGTCAAAGTCGTGTTAGTATTATAAGTATATATCAATAAATTAAAATTCATCATTTAAACTCACGTCTTTTACGAGCAGTTTCTTCAAATTGTTTCCCATTTTTTGTAACGTAAGAAGCCATTTTATCAATGATTATTTGTAAATCAGAAGGAGGAACATCAACTCCACTCGTGACATTTTGTTGGACTGCATTCACACCATCATGTTCTATTTTGTTCTCCTAAAAAGTTTTCTATGTGATTAACTGTGATAATATATTGTACAAATTTATCATTGTTCCTACTTCTTTTAACGTTGACTCATCAACATTGTTGACGTCGTCTGATTCTGGAGAATTAGATAATGCATTTGATGCAGATTGAGAAACTAATTTTTTTTTCAAACGTCTCCTAGCCGATTTGGTTAGACCATCAAACTCAGAAACAATTGTAACAGTTGTAGTACAAGCAGGTTCTTCTATTTTAGAAATTTCTTCTTCAATCGGCATTGCTGATTGTTTTTCTTTTATTTTATTCACAAGCAATGAATAGGAACAGTCTGCAGAAGGTTTGTATGATATGTTTGGTATAAATGGAGTCTGCAAAGAAATACAAGTATAATATAAAATTAATATAGTTTAATGGTATTGTACAGCAAATTCGGCAATCTGGAAATCAGTTTCAAGTTTCAATAGTCTAAAATGAAGTATGAGTGAGTTGGGATATTGAAAAAAATTGCTATAAACTTAAGGATGTTGAGTTATATAAGAAGTTAAAATTACTATAATATTAATAATATGTATAAAAAGGAACATATAAATAATTTTTAAGGATGTTATCATTAAAGTTACAAGGACAAGTACACAAATTATAGGAAAACATGAGTTCCATGGCCAGGTCACGACAAATACCTAAAAAAAAAACATCAAAATTAATTGTAATCAAAATGTGTTTAAAAAAATGTAATTTAATTTCCTGAGTTGTTATAAAAAAAAATTCAGTTGAGTATTCACATATTGAACTTTTTTTAATAATATTTATAATTCTCTCTCTCTCTCTTAGAGAGAATTAAATTAATTATATTTAATAATATTTATAAGTGCTGATAAAAATAAGTTTTAATATTATAGTTTATACATTATCCTAAACTTACCTTTACTTCATTTAGGATATCTTAAAACAATAAGTGATAGATACTTTTCTTTTTGTTGTTACTACATCTATCATTAGAGTGCAATTTTTACAATACCCAAAACCTTACCTGTCTAACTTAGCAATTAAAACTATTTAAACATTTTTAAGTCCCAAATCGAAAATTGTTTAATGAAGATTAACTGCTCGATCTTGAATTGATTTTCCTAATAAAAATGTATAGAAGAGGACAATCGGCCGAATGGGTAATGTGAACATTCGTAGCACTCACTGACACCGGTTTGAGTTGGTCTCAGTTGGCTCTGTTTTCTGGGCAAAAAGTCTCCTAGTGAAAATGAGCCACCATCCTCCTCTTTGGGGACAGACTAATGTGCTTGTCCCCGATAACAAAAAATTATCAAAAACTTCCTATGAGGAGAAGACAGCGATGACCCTAAATGGGCCACTTAAGCTGTATTACAATAAAAGTATAATATGCTTTACTCATTTTTACTAATGTTTTTTTATTGAATTGTAATTATTCTGAAGTTTTTAATTTATTACTAATTGTAAGAATGTTAACATGGTATAATATAACTTTAAGCAATTTAACTTTGTCAATTTAAAGTTAATTTTCCAAAAATCTGTTTGTGTTAAATTCACTATGCGTGTTTTAGTTTTATACAAAAGCCTTTTGAGCTATAATTTTTCAAAAAATTATGTTCAATTCACAGAACTTTTTACATATACTAATGCATAATGAGCATTATTTGTATTGAACAACTATAAAATACGTCACAAAAAAAATACAATGAAAATATATTAAGAAGGACAAATTATAAAATTGAAACGCAAACTCACCAGCATCCAAACCTCTTGCAGCAAATCATTGATTATTGTGAATGTTTTTGTTGATCTTCGAATCACTGCTACTTTACTAATGTAGTTAACTAATGAAATAATTTATGCAAAATATGGTATACCAATATAATCTTTTTCGTTCACTATTACTTTACTCATAAATAAATGATAACCGCATTTCACTTACAAATTAAATTTACCGTCATATTTTTTTATTTCATCATCACATTGATGATAGACTCTCAGGCTTTGAATTATGAATAAAAAAACATATGTAGGTAATAGATTCAAATACTAAATATTTGAAAATTTGTAAAAAAAAATATTAATTAACTTTATATTACCTATACATAAAAAATTATAATTTACATTTAGATAGTTATTAATTGGTATATTATTAGTAAATGACTTATAGGATATCACCGTCAAGTAAAAGTTATCACACATATTTTTTTAAATTATGGTAGCTGTCTAAAATATTAAAAAAGAATATAGTATAGTAGTAGTAGAAATACTTATTAGCACCTACCGTTTCTGGTTGTTTTGCACTTTTTAGTAAGCTCGGATGTAAATAGTTGTCTTCATTTGATGAATCTAAAGAATCTGGAACACAAAAAATTACATAATAGATAGTAGTCTCTTCATTTTAACATAATAGATAGAAAATTTTACCTTCAGCACTATCATTAGTAAGCGTAGGGTTGTATCGACATGAACGAATAGCATTAAGTACATGTTGGTAATATGGATAAAGTGGCCGATCATAAGATAAAAATTCAAATTGTGAATTATGTGCTTGTTTAGCTTTTAACAATACTTCCATTTGTGCACCGTGTTTAGAAATAAACAATGCAGTTTTTTCAATAATAGCATTGAGTTTTTTTGTAGACGGCTTTAAAAAAAAATTAAAATGTTAAGTTTAAACATTAGACAGCTAGAAAAATTGTTTTTAATTTGAACAGAATCCCACCACATGCATGTTGGATGGTATATCTAATTCTCTAGGAGGAATAAAAGCTTCTTCAAGTTCGGGATCGTAATCAGCCTCATCTCCGGGTTTAACTTCAGATATATTTGATGATTCATCTTCATATTTATAGCCAACTTGGCCATACTCTTTATCTTCATTATTTAAAGCTTGGTGTAGACGTTTTAATTCTTCCTCTAAAATAAAAAACAATACTTATATAACTGTCACGTCTATATTTAGACAAAATATAATATACTATATTAAAAATGTCTGTTTAAAAGTTCAGTTAAACTATGGAAATTAATAGTACGAACTTCACACAAACTCACTACACATGTAAATAAAAATTGTATGATTGAACAGTTAAATATGAAAGTCATTATTTAAATGTCTGACAATTTTATTTTAAAATCAAATTTAAATATTTTTTGCCTATGCTCTTGCAAAGGCAAAAAAATATTTAAATTTGTAGAATGATAAGTGATTTTTGCTGTGCTCATTTGTGATATTCATTGAAATGCTTTATTTTTTTTTAGGTAGATACAAATAAATGACTGAATGTTTTAAATAATTTTGTTTAAAACTAATGGATATCTCAAATCACAAGTTTTATTGTAAAACTTAAAAAAAATATAAATTAATTAAATTAGGTAGATGGTTTTTTTTATATATATATTAGATATATATTTTGAAAAAAATTATTAAAATTTGAAAAATTGAACAGAAAACATGGACACTCAAGGTCATTATGTTGATCATAAATAGAATGATTATTTAATGATTTTTAGCAAAATTTTGGTATAGGACAATCTTATTTTTGTCCACTCTTTACATTTTTATAACTATTTGAAATTTGAGATTATTTGAATTTTTTTTTAGCGCTTGTTATTACTGTGGTAAGCAATGGTTATCGAATAATAATTTTAAAACCCCCCTTCTCTTCGTTGACACTGTCTCACATACTAATAAATACCTATACCCTGTTCGCTGAGAGAGCATGCTGGATTTGCGCTTGTAGACTGAAGACTAAACAGCCGTCGAGGACAGGCTGGCAGACAAGAGCAGTCTCCGGGGGGAACGCTAGTCACATTGGGTGCCGCGCAGGGATGCGCAGAACGGCCAATTTTCATTGAGTCACGGCATGGTCTTTCAGCGGTCAGGATATAATGTCAAAAAATAGATTATGTAACAAATATATTATAAACAAACCATAATATTAACATTATTATAATATTAACTTTATAATAAATTTAAATTGGCAAATGTGAATTAAAATAAATGTGTTTTTAATGAGTTTTGTTTTATTACTCTAAATTTCCTATCAGGTACTAACAATTTATAACAAATCTCAAGATATACACCCCACATTAACTTCTCTTTCTTATAGCCCAGCCGTTGTCCACTGACCTCTCCTCCATAAGCATGCTTATCAATACTGTGCACTAAAATAGTTTTTTAAGAACTTAAGGAATTTTGAGGGCAGTAAGTATTCCTAAATCAGTAGCCTAAGCTACTGGGTACAGTATAATATCTACGTCACCTTGGTATATTTGCTCTTCTTCACTTTTATCATTTAGAGATTTGTACCTTTCTTCATCACACAGCTGCTCAATTTTCTTTTCTTCAGCTGTCCATCCTTCCCATTGACTTTGGCCGAATGGAAGAGCTTCTACAGATTTCAAGTCGCTCAAAGCTCCTCGACAATCATATCTGTAAATAACAGTATTTGTAATTTACTTAAAAAAACCTCACACGCCAAAATAACAGCTAAACTAAATTTATAAGTTGGGAGCACTTACCTATCAATTTTTAGTGAATCATCGCCCATCCATGGTATCAAGTGTTTACCTTGATCAATAAACATTGCTTTCTCGTCATCTTTAAATAACTTACACGAATAACCAAAAACCAACAATGTTTGTTTTTCATCTTCCGACGAACCATTGTGGTTTGACCGATTTTTATATGCATTATTGAATGACATTTCAGTGTACAAAAAGATATAAATATTCTGACAATTTTAATAAATTTAAAATTTGGAAACAATAAAACTGTAAAAATGTAAAACACATTTCTTACTATTAAGTACTAACGATCATTGTTTATTGGCGAGATTCTATTTTCTTGTGAATTGAATTTTATCATCACATAAGCATTAAGCACCAACTGATAACAGTTAAACAACATTAATATTTTTGATTGGTGAAAAAAATGATAACGATTACCTCCTTCCTTTTGGTCACTCTGGTTATGACACGCTTATTTTAAAAAAAAAAACAATGTTTTTAAAACATCAAGTACGCGAATCAACCGGACAAACAATTTCTCGTCCAGCGATTTTATATTTACATCCATAATCTACACGTCCTCGGGTCACGGCTATGTTGCTGGCGGCGTTTGCAATTGATTTGAAAATCACATTTTGCTAAAAATAATATCATTTCTAAATAATATTTGTAGTGGCTCTCTCATTCTATCATCGATGATGTCCGAAATAATATTGTTCAGTCAACGCGAATTATCAAATTTGTTTTTTATATTTAAATAGTATATAAGGACAAATACAGGGTAATGATGAAAACAATAAAAGTCCCTAACGAATATTTCCCTCGTGTATTCATAGGCAAGACATTCCAACATCGAGACGCGATTTACTATAGCAAAATGTCTTCATTACCTACCAATAGCAAATCCATGTGGTAAGGTTGTAGTGATGCACGTAGATGGGGGTGTTGGTAAACATAATCGTGTGACCCCAGTCCCCATATAACCCTTCCAAAAATAATAATCAACCACAATTTTTAAAAGAATTTAATGGCGATGCTATTTATCTGCTTTCAACTACTACTCGTACAATACATATGTCCGAGGCAATAATTTAAGGATAACGTGCTCACCCACACAAACTACATGCGTTTGCTCCCGGGGTAAGGTTGCAGCACGTTTTACACACTATTATTTTTGAAGTTTTACGACAGGCAATGTGACAATTTCATTTAAATAGAAGTTGAGAAACTCTCAGCAACTTTAGTATTTCAATATAAATTATTAAGAATAACAACACTAAAATCCTGAATTCTTCTATTTGTCACCAATGTTTCTTGTCATTTTAGGATTAATATATTTTAATGAATTAAGAAATGCCAATAATTAAATGTTTTTTTTTTTAATAGTCAAAAGTCAAAAAATGAACAAAACTCAGTCAAAAAGACCAAAGCCCATATCATCGTCTTCTTCTTCTTCACTTTCTACCTTTTCTTCCTTTTTAGCTTCTGCTTTTGGTGCAGCACTCTCAACTGGAGCTGCTACAGCAACAGCAAACTTAGATGGATCCTTTAATAAAAAATAAAATATTTGATTCAAGTTAAAGATAAATTGTAGATACTTAAAATAATAATAAAGTATTTACCTTAAGATACTCCTTGAATGTAGTAGCTTCTTTAAAATCAATTTCAGTTTCAGCAGCAATAGCAACAAGGTTCTTGAATCCATTGATCAACATATGAGGTGCAGATACTACAGTTGGATAGCTGACTGCTAGACAAACCGATGTCAATTGTGTTACTCCCTGAATTAATAAAGCAAAGTTTTAACTTAAATATTTAGAAGTTAAAATTATACAGTAGCAAGTATGTCCAATTAGTTTAAGCAGTTATTTAATTGTACAACTTAAAGTTTCATTTAATCTAATAAATACAATTTGTATTTAAAATTAATAAAACAACAATACAAATAATCATGTGTATTCAATAGCATTCAATGATAAAAGCTAACTCAGAAAATGCATTGATCAACATTTCAAATTTCTGTTGGGGAAAGAAGACAAAATATAGCATTTCATCATTACTAGCTTTTAATCCTAAAAATATTCAACTCAGATTTAATTTGTCAACAGCAATTTTCTGACGGGAAAAGAAGACAAAATATGTAAAATTATCATCACTGTTTAAATAGGGCATATTATCCAATATTAGTTTAATAAAGTTTTGTTACGTACGATTTTTTATCTTAAAACTATGTATTAACAATGTAACAATATAACACTTACAACCAAGAAAGTTTTTATTAAATCTTCTGGTTTGATATCCAAGATTTCTGGTTCAAAAATAGTACCAGAATCATATACTTGTTGCACAGCTAAACCATATGAAAACGGTGAAATGTTCAACATGTTCAACAATGTAGCCTCAGAAGCTCCTACCTTTTCTCCTTCTTTCAAAATGTGCACGTCATTCTATTAAAAAAAAAAAAAAAAAAATTGTTTTAAATTAATACACTCATCATATAGATAAACAATAATAATAAAAACCTATTATCTCGTATTAACTAGTTATAATAATCCTGAATCTACTACCTACACAGAATAAGGTAATTGCATAAAATTGAATATATACCAAAATAACTTTTCAGCAAACTGCATCACAAAATAATAATTTTGGAATGACATCAGAATTTTTAAAGATTTTGTTGGTTTAAAATAGTCTCTTAATTTAATTGCCATCTTTTTTATTCATTTTTGTATAACAGCAAGATTTAAGTAAATTGTAGGAACCTTTGGCTGGCATTATTGCAAAACTTTATATTAAAATGGTAATACTGCTGTAGTAAAAAAAATTAGTTTGCTGAAAATACACATCTTTTTTATGCAGTGCATATTTTTTTGTAAAAGTTCATAATAACGTCGATAAAAAAAAAATTGTTTTATGAAACTTCTCTATTAGTTTTGAACTTACAATGATTTCAATAGTTCCCTTGGAAATCTTGGTAGCAATTGACAATGCTTGGAAGAAAGAAGTTTTTTCTGGACCAAGACCGGTGTTTTGGGAAGGGATGATGACATCACATGGAGCAATAGCACCAGGACGAGCTGGAGCACGTACTTTGTTTTCCAATAGCTTGTCTCTGATTTCAACCAAATCACTACGAGTGAAGACAAAACCTACATTACCTCTAATGTGAGGCAAGATTCTAAAATAATAGGAAAGAAATTATATTAATGATTTAATCATTTAACATTTTAAAATCTTTCCAAATAGTTAAATTTAATTTGTATTACTTTATCTATGTAAAACCAGAACTTTTCACAATTTTACTATTCCGAGTTCCAAAAGAGAACATACCGGGCGGCGGTGCACATCTCCCACCTAGCACCACTCACCGCGACGTGCTTCGGTTAGATTTGTAGCTTGGACCTTTGGGTACTATCGGCGCCACATCTCAGCAAGAGTGGGAAAAATTTACCTTTCAGCAGCCGCTAGCCGTCATTTGTGATGCGCAAAACCAGTATGTTCTCTTTTGGAACGGAGAATAAGCATTTGGGGACAAAAATAAGTTGGTGAAATTATTCTGTTAAGATTGCATTTATTTGCACAGAATTATTTTACTTCATTATTCATAGCTAAATTTTAATTGTATTATTTATGTTGTAAAACAATATGTTTTTAAACAATCTTAGACCAATAATAAGTTTTTATATAATCTGCCATTAATTAACCTTTTTTTTTATACTTCATGAATTGTATTAATCTGTTGCTCTCACTTAATAACTCCCAAGATGTTTTGGGTCAAAATATTTAAACAACATATATAGTAAAGACAGTTTTTAATATTGAACTGTAACAATTTGTAGTTTACTTTATTATAATCACAGTATATCAGACTGCCCAAAGGCATTTAACATCAACAAAAACCAATCCACGCCAATGGGTTCAACCATTTCTGGCTTTGACGTGTTAACGATTGATTTTTTAAGTGAATAGTTTATCATCATAGTTACCATGACAAATAGTATTATAAATTATAGTTAAGTTTTAAATAATAAAATATTAAAAATACCCATCACAAAAAAATAATGAACTTTTCAAAGAAGGGTATACACATATTTCGGTAGCATTGCTATTATCATCAACTCTAACAACAGACAGAATAATATTCATGAAGTATATTATACTTTATTTATTCATAAACTACGCTTAGTTTCAGACAGCCTTTCCGGCAATTTACTTCAACAAGATTTGTCCGTACCAATGGGTTCAACCATTTCTGGCTTTGGCGCGTTATGACTAGGCTCATTAAGTAGGTAACTATCATCATAAACGTAGTAACTACTATAACTTTAAAATCTTTTTTAAGAAATAAGTTGTGTAAAAAATTTACTTCTCAAGTGACTGGTTACGATCAATGTGCCCCTTAATGGCTTTCCTCATCATTGTATTTTTGCCCATCAGAACAACAGCGTTTCCACGAAGACTGATGCGGATCTGCTGCATCTGTTTTGATCCAACATTGTCGGCACCAACAATGAAACATTTTGGAAACTCGTCCAACAGAGTCTATGAATTAAAATATAAATTTTAGTTTCTATACCTATAAGATAAATTTTGGTATAAAAAAAACATACCACCAATTTAACAAAATAGTTTGCTTTCCAAGTCGCTTTGTCCTCTCTACCCATCTTGTGGCGTAGAGATGTTAGATACGTTTAAGAACTGTAAACCAGGAGGCCAAATTAATATTTTATTTACAAATAAATATCAAGTAGTATGTTATAAAACGTTAAAAATTGCTTATATTTTAATTTCATAAAGTAAATTTTTTACAATTGAATTTGTCTACCTCAATCTACGAAAGGCGCAGGATGGATTTAATTTTAAGGTTATGTTTGAAACGGAATCGACGAATCAACACTCAAATTATTTTAAAACAAGTATACTTATACCAGTTAAGACTAGAGAATTTAAAAGGATATTTAAAAAGGCAGTTCAAGAACAAAAAATAACGATACAATTTAAATAAGCTACGATTGAAGTCCATGAGCCATGTGAACATGTAGGTCGAAATAACCAACTGACACGAAGCATATTTTCTATGTAACTTCAACGTTATAGATTTTACTGAGTATATTTGTTGAAATAATTACGTACATAAAATTAACAATCAATAATGTTAAATATATATTTTACTTACCGAAGCGACAGCTTAAAAAATATGAATAATAATTCGAACAATCGAATAACGTTACACTAAGACATAGGCCTATGGAAGAGACCGTACAGCGTGTTCGAAAAGAGTACCGAGTTCAGACTTCAGAGTTGCGTGTGGCAATAGTAGGGGGCAAGTGACAACAATCCAATTTCATGGAAGAGTAACTCGTTAAGAAAAGGGTATACACCTCAATAATCCAACCGACAAAACATCACAAATTAATAATTAATTTCACAGGAAAGCAATTCAACAATTTTCCTCGACACATTTTGCACTGTAATGCATTTTTCTAAACTTTCCAGCGACTGTTTTCAAAAAAAAAATAAAGCCTTCCTATTCTTTATTAAGTTATTCAATTAAGTTAATAATCGTCAAAAATTAATTTAATAATAATAGCACTATACTTTTTTAATTGAGCTATCGATTTCTTATTGCCCTTCGACCACTAGCCACTGCTTCAATATTATAAAATAACGATATTTTAATACACAGAACGATCAAAAATTTACCTACGGGCTACTCAAAAATTACAGAGTCGTAATACGTGAAAAGGCAAAAATATATTTATTCTCAACAAAATGTTTGTTTTGCCATAGGGTTTAAATTTTAACGTACACTTCATTCTTTTTAACAATTTACTACTGCGACATGTTTTTTTTACTCGAAAACATGCCTTTCGGGTAAAAGTCTTACGACTTGTAATGATTTATCTAAACTGATTTTTGTCATATTTAATGATTACAACACCCAAAAATTAAAAATCTTCCTAACAGTTAGACGCTTTTGCTCCCTGTAAAATGTATTCTCATTTTTCAAACAGAAAGAAAATTATCAAATTCTGATCACTCTACTAGGCGTGAAACCTTTTTGCCTTTAAGGCCTATTTTTAAGCAAAACAAATACCCGCCCACAGGCCCCAAACAGTAAATTTTTCTTCAAAAGTTTCAAATAAAATCTTTAATATTATGATAAATTATCCAAAAATAGTTTATAATATTCAAACTAATAAATGTAATAGGAATCAAACACACGTGGATTAACTAATAAGTAAATTACAAATCTTTTTAATACTAAAATAGGTAATGTGATATTCTTTTAAATTATTGAATCAAATTATTTATGAATCAGAACCTTTTTTAGTCAATAAAACTAAACATATAAGTGGTTTACGACGCTACCAAAGCGTGAACGCGTGGGTCTAATGTAAAATCTATAGTAAAATATTCTGCATTTTTAATCAATCAGTTGTTTTATTATTTTATCAACATACATGTTATATTCAAAGGTTGTTTTTAAAGAGTTTTCATACTGAAATAATTTGCATTGAGGTAGCATTTGGATTTCAAAAGATCAGTTCAGAAAAAATAAGATGAGACGTTAGATGAAAGAGTAGCAAAAAAAAACACTTATATACTCATTAATTAAAATTTAGGACGGGAAGAAGGGCAACCGTACTTACCCTCCAGTTCTAACTTTAAACTTTAATAACTTTGAAAATAATTATCCAAAACTTATCGACTAGTCAAAATGTTCAGCAAATTATTCTTAATTTAAAAAGTTAATCAAATACATACGTTGCCGTTTAAAAAACTTAAGTTCGTACGGCTTATAACATGTAACATATTATAAGGGATGCGGCTATATTTTTTAAAAATATATTTATCCCAACTAATAACTATAAAAGGATAAAAATAATAATTTAAAAAACTGCAATATCTTCTAAGTTATTGACTGGTTCATAGTTAACTCATTACCCGGTACAAGTAATATAATATATTAATATTATTGTAGTCCAATAATTTTCATCATTCATAAATCACGAGTCGCGACTAGTATATAAATATACATCAATCTACCACACGATGTAACTGAGTAATCAATTCTTTTTTTACTATCGCCATTCGAGTTTTCTTACTAAATTGAGTCCCTACTCCCTGCGGGTGTTCGGTATTTTCATTTCGATAACGTGTTTTAAAAATAGTTCACAGTAGCATGAATTTCCTAGAAATGTCAATAACACGAGACCAAATAATAACGGTTCACGGTTGCGACTTGTGACAAGTGAAATCTGGAAGTCTTCAAAAATATATAGCTCTTAATGTAAGTACATACGTTGTTGGACGGTAGGTTCAAATACCGAGCGATGTTTGTACTTAGCAAGTCTGTTTTGGGCGCCATTTTTAAAATTATCCTTTGGTTCAAAATCAGCAGTCTAGCCTTATCTACTGAAATTTAAAAAAGAAAAACAATAATTCAGCTGCTTGCTGGTTAAGCAAGTTACAGTTTTAAGGTAACATTAATCATGTTTCTATCTTTAAAAGTTTAGTACCTATACCTAATGTCTGTAGCGTTGTCAGAAGTTGTCAAAGGTCAATTTGCTTGTAATTTTAGAGTGCCTATTATTGTTAATCTTTTGAAAAAAATGAACGTACCTAGTATTTTCAATTATAACGGCAGAAATGCAAAGAAAAAGTGTTAATAGTCTTAGTAATAGAATATATTATATAGAGCGTACTATGCGTTTTAAGATAAAATACATTATAACAAAATACAAAATTAAGTAAAAACGGCTATTTACTATGAATCGTCCACAGACGATAATAACTCAAAGTACATATTATATTATATTATTGTATATTAGTGTGTAGCACGTGTTGCTTAAGTAATCATAATTGTAATTATCATGTTATTGTGTGTATTTCACATTTGTTTATTTACTTAACGGTATTTGTATTATTGTTTGTTTAATTTAAATAGGGAGATATGGGACGGTCAAGTGGTCCAGCGACTGCTTTACGATAGGCATTAGAAGTGTTTACATCGTTCTTTAGATTAATTGAACTTAATTAGTTATTAACTTAATGATAGTCTTATAATTATATTACCCTAATGTACCAATTGTACCCTATTACCGAAAGAGTGTCCTGTGTCTCGTTATACACTTATTAACACTTCCGACATTCGCTTACTCGAATTGCTGTTTATTATATATATATATATATATATATATATATATATATATATCTGTGGCTTGGAGCAAAAAGAGTCAATGTCACTTTTTGCGACTTTCGGAAAATGAGCTTTGAAGTTTTTATTTTACATTAGGCTCCATGTTAATTTTTTTTTATCAAACTCTTTATGAGTAATTCATTTTTTGGCCTCAGAGTGTGATTTTTTCACAGTATATAAAAAATGATTCAATTTTTGCAATTAACGGACTAACTCGTTAATGCACAAAATTGACATTGGCCCTTCTTGCTCCAAGCCACAGATATATATTTAAACAAAGTTAATATAGTTTTAAAAATGTAGTTACTAAAACAAACTGTAGAGAGAGGTTTTTATTTTACGTAAATCATTTCTCCATCCACTTGACTTATCGGCTATCGCATAGGATTAGACAGAACGACCATTTCTATCGACAAAATACAAATTAACACTGGGACTTATGGAACCACCTTAATTAACCTATTGTAGACACCAGAAAAATACACGGTAATCAAAGTGCAGACCGGACAATGACCTATATAGAAATAATTAAATAAATTTGATATTTTCTAAAATGCCCGTTCTACTATAAAAATGTATTATAATAATTTTAAAATATTATGTTTTCGTCTAATTCACTTAAGTTAATCGTTGGTATCTGGTGATGTCCTAATTATTATTTTTTATTATTGGAGTCGGCACCCGGCGCCCGCCACCCGGCGTTTAAAACCAAATGACAAATACTGTTTGTTACAACTTCCAAGAGTCAAGACCCAAATTTTTTTTTTGTATTTCACGAAACTCGTTGTAATGGAAAGATAGCAGCAGGTATTACTAAACGGTAATAACAAAATGTATAACTAAACATTTTATTTTATTTTTTAAAATAATGAAAAATGATAAGTGATAAGGTCAAAGGTGCGGTGTCAGTAGTGATCGGTGGGTGATTGAGAAATTCATGTAATCGGAAATAATGATAGTAGGTAGGTATGTTCAAATGTTCTACTTTTCTTGACAAAACCGACGTCGGACATCTAGGTGAAACCTCCATTAGAATTTAGATACATTAATATATTTGCAATACCTATAAACTACTTACACTGCCCGTAATCGGCGTGTTATTTGTTCTCAATATGTGCCGCTTCTGTCAAAGTAATACTGATTTATGTTTTCAGTCTTATAAACAAATTACTCACTTGATTCGTAGTAATCTTAATACATGTTGCATTATTATATGACATCGGTAAAATTACTTATAATAACTTAATGAATAATTGTATTGTGCTTTTAGATAGACGATCATGAGTACTAAGGACAGCGTTGTGTCTGGGAATTCTATCGTTTACTTGGATATTGAAATTGAAAGTGAAAAAAGTAAGTTACATCATATTTATTCAAGATATATTTTGTTAGTTAACTTGATTTTGTTTCTAGTTGGAAGGATAGTCTTAGAATTATTCAACGATAGAGTTCCCAAAACTGCCGAAAATTTTAGAGCATTATGTACTGGAGAAAGAGGAATAGGTAAATCGGGAAGACCTCTTCATTTCAAAGGGACCTTGTTTCATAGAGGTAACACTAGTTCTTTCTTAAATATTTTTTTAGTTTTGTCTTACCTAGCATGTATTTCCTGATCATTAGTTTTTGTGTTCTAATACATTTTTTCATTGTGAATGGTATTTTAAAATGTTGACCGCCCTTTGTTTGGCTACCGGTGGCAATACAAATTGAAGGTCAATATGTTAAAGGGTTTTAAATTAGTAGTTTTTTATCATTATATAATTCACTGCATTTTTTATTTTTTTTTGTTTTAACAAATTTAGAATAATTTATTTTAAATGTTTTTTTTTTCCAAGTAATCCCTAACCTGGGAGGGAACTGTTTGCACACTACTTCCTCCTAGGAAGCATCGTTTATTAGCTGGTCTACAAAAAACTTGAATTATAAAAATCCCGTTTTTCTCTTCGCGAGGCGGGCTCACAATTTTACTTCATTCTAGTTGCGATATGTACATTTTCTTAAACATTTACATGTATATACATATTAAATCCTCCATGTCGGTGGGACAGCACTTGTGGCCTCACACCGATCACCGATCTAATCTTCAGGAGCCAGTGGCACAGTACCCGCTGCTTCCCTTTGTCTCTGTCTCTCGTCCTCCTCTTTCTTTGAGAAAACTGCATTGATATAGTTGGCTATAGCCCTCCATTGGTCCGAGGATATGGTCTTCTACGCTGTCTGGTGCCTAATCTATAATATTGAGTTGCCGCCACCGATCACATTTGTAAAATGTGTGTTCGGCGTCGTCTCAGGAATGCTGGCAGTAGATACACTGCGGGTTATCTGGGCGCTGAAACATCCATGCCCTGTCAGAAACTGCGTGAGATGGTAGTTTATTACGCTGTGTGTCCTCGATGCCTATCTTTTTGCATCGGGCAGTATCCGACGAGTCCGAGACCCCTTGTTTCCAAGGCCCACTTCGCCTGCCATTGCTGCAGCGTCTCGTCTGTAGCTCTCACTTAGGCCTTCCGCCACAAGGTCTATTGCCTTACCTCGCTGTTGGACAAGTAGATGAATGGGAGAGACGGCCAAATGCGGCTGCTGTCCTCTATGCCTTGTCCCTGACAGCTAAAAGATGGTCGCAAAACCCCATGAAATTACCATTAGGGTAGTCGGGTTCTCTCACCTAGTCTATTGTACTGTACCGAGTTCCCACACAGTACAGAACATTAGACTAGGTGAGAGAACCTGAGGACCCTCATGGTACACCAAAGAGTATTATGAAAAATGGCTTGGTAACCAACGTGTTAATATTACTGGTTCTTTGAAAATGTGAATTTCAACATACTGTTAAATTATAATTTTGTAAAATTTATTTCAAAATATATTAAATAAAAACAAATTTAACTTACTAAACTTTTGGGTTGTAAGATACATTTTTTTCTCCTCATTCTGTATCGTATTTATGTAAATTTGATTATGTGGAAAATATAAATATCTATCCTACGTTATTTATGGTATACTAATGCTTATTCTTCTTCTTACTTTTTATTTTTGTTTATACTAGAATACTTATATGAATAAACTTAATGATGTAAGATAGATTTTTATATTTTCCGCTTCCAAATAAATAATTTTAGGTATTATATATTATTTACATACAGTGTTTCTTAGGTGATGGCCACAATAAGGTTAACACACTTGGAAACCTGTTTCCATTTATAATGTATGCTTCAATTACTGGTCTAGTCTATAGATAATCTTTAGTTTTTAGGTCTTATAACCAGTGTGAATAAACTTAATACGTAATTTAGAAACACCTGTGTATTGAATGTATAATATATTTTATAATGAATATCAAAAATAATATTTTGTTAAATTAAAATTTGAATTTGCAGCTATCCCAGAATTTATGATTCAAGGTGGTGATATCACAGCTAATGATGGATCTGGTGGTGAGAGTATATATGACTGGTTCTTTGAAGATGAAAATTTCGACATACTGGTATATTATAATTTTTTGTAATTTCATTATTTATTAGGCATTAAATTGTAAGATACATTTTAAAAAAAAATTGTTTTCCTCAATTTAGCACGATGAACCTGGAATCGTGAGCATGGCAAATACTGGCAAAGCTAATACAAATAATTCACAATTTTTTATTACCATTGCTCCATGTCCACATTTAGATGGAAGAAATGTAGCATTTGGAAGAGTAATAAAAGGATTTTGCGTGGTTCAAACTGTTTCAACTACAGTTACAAAAAACGATGTGCCTATTAATGTAAGCTAGTTTATAAAGTAATAAAATGTATGAGTCCAACAATGGCTTAGCCCTTGAAATACTTTTACAGATTTGCACCTAAGCTAATAACTTTTTTCAAATTTCTGTTGTATACAATACATGTTTATTTTTTTAGCCTTGTGTAATTGTAAATTGTGGTGAGTTATCTAATGATAGCAATACTTGGGATATAAATGAAAACGATACCACGTGTGATATATTTCCTCCTTTTCCAAGTGATTGGTCAATTCATCAAAAAGAACTCGATGTAACTATTTATTTTTAATTTTTTTTTCTCATAGTTTATGTTAATTATGATTTATAATTAAATTAAATTAATTATTTACAGGTTGTTCAATTTTCTGAAGTAGTTACAAAAATTAAAGATTCTGGTAATCAATATTATAATTATAAAAATTACATAAATGCTAAAAGAAAATATGAAAAAGTGTTGCGTTATTTTGAATGGTAAATACTTTTAAATTTTTCTTACTGTGTTTTTATTAATACTACTATACGGTCTATACTACTGACGGTCTTCAACACAATTTTTGATAATCAATATTGTTAAAATTTTTCCAATAAATAATTGTATCAAAAAAAAGTAATGTGTGATAAATATCACTATCTATCAGTAAATATTGTGATTTTTTAAGTTTGATATCAACAATACTAAAGATCCCCTAATTAAATTGTATATTTATATTTAATATTAATTTCTTATAAAGTATGATATAATTATGTTAAACATAAATCTTATTTTTAGGTATGGACGTTATTATAAAAATAGTGGGGATGACTATACATTAATGAAAATTAAAGCAAGCACACTCTTAAATTTATCTACTGTCCATTGGAAGATGCACAATTACAGAAGTTCTATAACATATTCAAAACAGGTAGTATATTTGCTTTGCACAAGTTGAATTAATATTTATCTTAAATAACTGTCATAGGTTCTAAATTTGGAATCTAACAATGTCAAAGCTCTATTTCGAATTGGTCAGGATTATGGAGCACTCAATTATTATTCTTCTGCAATAAAATATTTAAAACAAGCTTTGGAAATTGTTCCAACTGAGAAAAAAATTTTAGCAGAATTAATCAAAGTTGAGAAAGCACAAAAGCAATATTTAGCTGTAGAGAGAAAACGATATGCTAAAATGTTTTCATAAAATGTTTTATTTAAAAATTAGTATTATAAATTGTTACTTCACTCTTAAGTAAATTATAGGTAATAAGTTTTTAACAAATCGGTTATTTTTATAATTATTTATTATATAATGCGGGACAATTTTTTTTAGTCTGTAGATAACTGAATTTGAATTATCTAATTATTATGTAATAATATTGATAAAAACAAGGATTTTTACTTAGAATTTATGCAATATATACATAAAAATTAGTTTCCTTCTTAAATTATTACATCAAAGAAGTTATTTAATTTACTTGCTTATAAAAACAGTTCATGTTATAAAATCTAGTTTCTAGACTATTGTATTAAAGTTAGATAAAACAGTTTATGTTATTAAATCTAGTTTCTAGACAATTGTATTCAAGATAGATATAATGAGGAAGAATATGTTTTGCTTATAGCAAGAAAATGTGCAATATTTGAATCATAGGTATTTAACTATTTAATTTAAGTATCTAAGTTTTATTGTTATTGTTATTTAATTTTAATTTTTTTTTAAACTAAAACTATTTAATGCAAGGTAAATCAATCCAATTCCATATAAAAAATATAATAATAATTTAAATCTTATAAATATAATTTGCCGAGTTACATTTTAAATTAATTGAGCAATTTTGTATTAGATTTTTTGATGTAATTTCTATGTAGGTAAATCTTTTAATGTACAAAAATAATTTTTTAGTAAATGCTTATTATTATTTACTAAAAATATAAAGTACAATTTTTTTCAATGGTCAATAATAACCATGTTATGAACTCCTAGTATATAATTATGAATAATATTTAAAAATAAGTATTAATAGAACTTGTTATTTTTTCTTGTTACTTGTAATTAAAGACTGAGTTTATATTTATAATTTTATGTAATTATTTAATATTATAAGCCAATAACTAAAGTTGCATGCAATAATATAATTTTTTTCATTTTAATTAAATGATGATCTATTATAAACTATTCAAAAACCTTAAACAAAGAAAATTAAATATTTTGCATTAGAATATTATTTTTGAATCTAAGAGTTGATATGTTCCTTTTCGAAACAAGTTCACATCATCAAAACAATCATAATAATGATAAAATTGATAAAATAATAAAAGTAACACACTTAATACTTAAGAGACTGACTCGATGATGTAAGAAATCATGTGATATTAAAATGTGTAATTAATTACTCTTAAATTACTTAGTATTTACTACTCTAAGTATTTGGATGTTATTAAAATTTTAACTTAAAAATTAATTTAATGTTATAATTTTTTAAAGAACAATTTTTGTTATAACAACAATTTAATTAAACAGTTGGTAAAGTTTTAGTGTAATATATGTAAGAATACAGTATTTACCAAGGGTGTACATATTAAATTTTGTTTTGTTCATCATTTTATTATGCCACGTGTTTATCAATTGTACATCATTATGTATAATTATCCTGCTAGAGTTACCTCAATGTTAAATTTATTTATGTAAAGAAAAGTCAAAAACAGGTCTTTTCTCATTTTTCAATGGTCGCCCGTGGTATATTTTTACTGAATAGATGAATGCAGAAACGACACTAGTCAATTTTTTAAAACTTGGATAATTTATAAAAATTAATAGAAACCCATTGTTAGAATGAATTTCTACCAAAAACTCGGTCCATAAAAAAGTGTCTCGTGTCGTTTCTACAATCATTTGCTCAACTATAATTTTTATTTCATGATGATTTAAAGCATAAAGCATTCACTACAAATCAATCATTAATATGTAAATAATAACTATAAAATACAATTTATTTGTAGTAATTGGACTATTTTACTTCAATTATGTATGTACCTAGCAGTGGCGTAATTACCGTGGGTGCAGAGCGGGCTGAGGACTTTCTATTTTAGCACGTTCTCGTACGGCTTACTATACACGTTAACGTGTAATATAAGGCGCAAAAAAAATGTCTGTTTTTACGCCACTGGTACCTAGCATACTATTTAGGTATTCTACTACCTATCTACTCTTGGTATTTAATTTTGTAAATCTACTACACATTTTTCAGGAAAACTAATACCTCAGTGCTCAACATATTGAGGTAATCCAATACAATTATCTGTACTCCCAAAGTTCCATTTTAATAAGAAGTGAGTAATTTATATGAAAATGTATTCGGGGTAGAGTGTGCCTTGATTGATGAGATAAACTATATATCTATACTATAAATCACAAAAAAAATTTAATTATTGTTAAAATAAAAGCACAAAAAAAAGAGCATGCGGTTTGTTTTTTTTGACGTTTAAGACCAAAAAGTCAGACAACATTTCTTGGCTACTTAGGACTACTTAGGATGGTAGGATGATGAGTATGTATTATGTAGACTCGACTCCTTTGTTATATCATGTAGATTATAGGAGGAAGCTAAGCTGAGCCTAGAAGAGCAATGGGTGATTTGACTATTTGAGGCAAACCTAACAGGCAACAGCTACAGTCCACGTCCAGGCCCACAGCTTGGGTGTCCTGAGCGGCTTGCCGATTTCGCCGGGTAAAACGATTAACCGTATAGACCTTGGTATATGGTTACACGAAAGCCATAATACCAACCAATGCTGACAGCATGATTATATATAATCTATCATCATGGCCGACAGCCCGCCATTAACCGGTTAATCTGATAGTGATAACTGATCAGTGATTATTTTCAAATTATTTAAGCTGTGTTTTTTTGAATTTTTTATTTATACTCGTTAGTTTTTCGTAATAATTATTAGGCATTTATAATTTAATATTAAATATTATGATTTATTTTCTTGTAAATAAATTATATACATGGTTTTTAGTCAAATAGTTATTTTTTATGTAGATATTCGGTTAAATATTCAAAGAAAAATCACAAAATATGGATACAACGGAAGTTATGAATTCAGCTAACAAATTATTCAATGCTGGCCGATTTACTGAATGTTGTATTCATCTTCAACAGGCAGTGGACTATTGGTATTTGAATGTAAATTTGAAAAACATCAAACTCGAAGATGAAATTACATTTTTAATATTAAAGAATAATTTGCTCTTATGTAATTGCTTAGTAAGTATTAAAATTATAATTACTTTTACATCAATTTAATACATTTTTTTCTTACTTTAGAGAATTTTACCCACAATTAGTGAGGACTATGTAAGCAAAATGACAGAACTCATTAACTTTTCTAAACTTCATTTATTTGAACAACACATACCTATATACCTACGAATTAATTTTATGTATAACACATTGTACTGGTATTGGCTTAAACCAGCTGAAATTATTGATTATTGTTATAGTGAAGTTATTACATTGGTTAATGATTGTTTACTTCAAGGTATATATGATTTTATTTTAAGTGATAACTATACCAAAAGTGTTTTATGTTATCAAAATAATTATACTATTTTAATACTCATTACTTAATTTACTATACATATATTAATAACATTGACTATATAATGTATAGATGTATTATAATTATATAAGGAATAGAAAAGCAAAGGTGGGTGGATAGTTGTGTATAACGCAAGTATGGGGAAATTATACGCAAATGAAAAGAATTGAAATATATATCTTTTTAGAGGAATAATTTGGCTTGTTTTATTGATTCATCAAGCTAATGAAAGTATACATTATTAAGTTATACATTTTGATTTGACGCATGGCACCTGAGGTTAAGCTGTGTTCGTTATGGCTTTATCCTATATAGGTGATGACTCAGAATTTTAGCGACGACCCATATTATGTTGCTACCTCACATATTTCTAATTTCAGACAAAACACCTTAAGTATAAAATGGCAAATCCTTAACATATAAGCTAACTATTGACTGAAGCAATCAATAATAATAAAAAAAAAGTTTTCAGTGTTTGTATGATGGTACGTAAGTTTTATTATTGTATAAAAAAATTTTGTTTTTAGTGTTACAAGAACTTGATAAAAACATCATCAATTTAAGCTCTCATGTTGGTGAAGAGGAAAATATTTTAAAGAGCCTAGAACATTTATCCAATATGTTCCTTTGTTTGGAACCAATATTGGTCATCCAATGTTTGGAAGTTTCACAAATTTTGATGCAAGTCTTTCTGTGTCGGCAAACATATGTAACACTTTTTATGGATTTTATTTCTGAAATTTTAGATAAAGTAAATACTATTATCACGACATTAAAACATAAAAAATCCAATATAGTTTTTAATTGTTTTAAATTTGGTCTATCGCCAATCAATTCGTTTCTTAGTATTGATCATATTAACACAGTTATTATCACCGCACATGTGTCTCTGTGTATTGGATATACATTGGAACGCCAACATAAACAAGCATTAAGCGTACTAAGTACTGTCGATCAATATACAGACATAAAAGATCAAATATTCTGCTTGCAATGCTATTTACAGGCTTTTGCAAATTTTAATTTGGAAAAATATGAAGATTCATTTTATTATTTAGCACAAATGACTAATTGTTCAATGGATGAATTTATCAGATCTAGGTATTATATATTACTTGGCAGAAATTACTCCAAATCAGAAAAGAGTGATATGGCTATTAGTACTTTTGAAAAGTTGAAAGATTCAAAGTATAATAGAGCAATGGCTTTTTATATGTCGCAGCATTATGAATACAACAGTGTGAAGTTAACTCAAATTCTAGTACTAGATCAAATCATTCAGGTATAATTTATAAAACATGTTTTTTGAAAAAATAATTTTCAAAATAATATTATAGGGAGAATTAGATGCGGAAGATAATAGTAATACTCATGCTATTAGCTACTCAACCAGAGTTCTGTTAACTATCCATCCTCAGCCTGATTTAACTAGAAGACAACTCCTATACTTAGCAGCCAAGAAGAAATATAACCTTAGTGTGAGTATTATTATTGTAAATATTATATCTCATTATTATAATTTGTATAAAGTAATAAAATAACTTCTTTACAGAAATATAAATTAGCAATATTAGATTTTGAAAATCTAATTAAATTAGATGCTGCTAATGATGCATACCAATCTGAACTTGTACCAATGCCTTCAAATTTCATGCTTAGATGTGAGGCAGCTGTAGCTTTTTTAAAAGCTCATGAAATGAGCAAAGCATTCACATTATGTCATAGTTTAATTGAAGAATATGACTGCGGTTTTGGTATGTGGAAGAGCGATTCATTTTGGGCAAATGAACTGAATAGCTATGATTTCAATGTAGTAGGCGCTCTGTTATTAGCCGAGACAGGAATTTTTCAAGAATCTGATACCATTTTGAACGCTTTAAATAAGTAGGTCGAACAATTTTCAAATTAATTCCTCATATTTTAATGTTTTTTTTTATAACTTATACAATTTAGATCGTTCAATTGTTTGTATACCAAAATTGATAGCGGATATTCAAGTATAAGTAATGAAGACGAAGAAAATGTAAAAACATTTCGTCGAGTTCTTATGGGCAAGGTATTGCTACTTAAAGCAACAGTTTTGAGTAGACTTGTAGATCGCGAAGATGAATGTGAAGCTACTTATAATAAAGCACTTAAATACAATCCAGGTGAAGTACAAATTCAACTTATAGAACACAAGCTATCGTTTAAGTTTTGAAAAATCAATTTCCTCCTTTGGTAAAACAATAATAATAATTATGTTACAGGGGATGAAGATATAATTTATTTATTCTCTAAGTGGTTGGAACATAAAGGAAGAACTACACAGTCTATAAGTGTGCGGGACTGTTTCGATAAAAACATTAGTAACACAATAGTTTGCGATAACCTTGTTTTGGATCATGTGCTAAAATGTAGTGCTGGTCATGAGAATACAAACCTTGGAATTTGTGATCGCATCGATGATTTGTTCGCTGACACTGATGAAAAAATTACTGATATAAATACAGAAATGAATCCTGTCGATGATGATATTTTTAATGATTTGTTTGTAGACTAAAATCAATATAATAAAAAAAATCTATATAATATGTATAATATAACAAGTATATATTTTCATTTAAAAATCATAATGATGTATAAAAAAATATAAATGAAATACCATTATTATATAATAATAGTAATTAAATATGTATATTTTTATAATTCAAAAGTCCTTTACTAAATTTTGTAAAATACAGTATTTTAGGTTTAAATTTGAACTATGTTACAATTCCAATTGACTAAATTACATTTTTTTTTGCATGTTTCCCAAATGATTACTAAAAATAAACTGTATAATATAACAATTTTCATATACTATTAATACCAATAAAATCTATGCAATAATACTTTAATAGAAAAATAATTATTATTAACAATTTAGTAAAATTAAATACTTATTATTAAAAATTATTTGGCAACATAATAAATCTCTGTATGGAAATACGTAAACAACAATAAGTATTTAAACAAAATCACATTTATTTAAATTTGTATCCAGTCTTTTGGGTTTTTTAAGATTTCTGTAAGTTTTCCTTCTCTGCTCTGGGGGCTAGGTTTGTGCATATATTTCCAGTTCTAAAATTACAAATTAAATTTGAGTTCTTTACATAAATAACAAATTGAGCAAGTCTTTTAGTACTCAAGATAATACATTTAAGTATTATAATTTATATCATGCATGTTATACATTTAAGGGAATTAATAGAATTGTGTGCGCAAGATAAATGATAAAACTGAAAACATTTTTACATAAATAACTTAATTTTGTTTTTATGAAAACACAATAAACTGTCTGTAATTAGATGCTTGCACAAAAATTCTTTTCTAAATGAACAGCCTTTAAGGAGGGAGTTTCATAATCATTGAAGAGGCAGTTAACTTATTGCTAGAGAGGGACGCTACACACTGCCGCTTAACCCACTATAGGCTTTTTCCACGTATTGATGATAAATATTTTTGACATTTTTATGTCTTTGCTATGGCACACACACGGAAAAACGACACAGACACCGGTTATCATAACGAAAAATAACAGCTGATTTATCTGATAAGATAAGAGAGATAAGAGATATTAATTAGAGTTTTATAACAACTTACTGCAGTCAGAGGGAGTGACATGAGTATACTTTCATAACGAGCTCCTGGAGTGTACAACCCAAATTTTGTGCCCCTATCATAAATCAAATTGAACTCAACATAACGTCCTCTTCTTAAGAGTTGCCATTCTCTCTCGTGTTCTCCATAACGATCATTTTTATGATTTTTCACTGAAATATACATAGGATTTCAGTAAAAAAAAAAAATGTAAATCAGTAAATAAAAATGATATGTTAACTCTTAAATTATATATTACCTAGCGGTATGTATGAAGGTATAACAGCTTGAGCACAACTTTTTACAAAAGAGAGTACATCTTTTTGAGACGGAGAGTCTAAGTCATCAAAAAAAATACCACCGATTCCTCTGCGCTCACCTCGATGGGGTATATTAAAATAATCATCACACCAGCGTTTAAATTTTGGATAATACTCTTTGTTGTGCTGGTCACAAGCATTTTTTAAAGTACTGTGAAAATGTACTGCATCATTCTCATTTAGATAATATGGGGTTAAGTCTGTTCCACCACCAAACCACCACTATAATATATCAACACGTCAATTATATTAGTATTATTGACCTACAGCATCTACTAACACTCAAAACATTAAATATCAATGCCATAAGTTTACCTGTGTTGTATTATCAGATTGAACAACTTCAAAATATCTATAATTAAAATGTATTGTAGGCACATATGGATTACGGGGATGTATAACTGCACTGATGCCTGCTGCAAAGAATGGAAGAATTTGCTCGTCTTTGAAATTTTTACCTCTGAGTCACACAAAATTTAAATATTGTAAGATTATTAAAATACTAGAATTTTACCTAGCTCTCATCTGGGCAATAGCGCCAGGAGGTAAATGTCCGTGAACTACAGATATATTGACTCCAGCTTTTTCAAAAACTTCTCCATCCTGCATTACACACGTTATTCCACCACCGCCTTCAGCTCTTAACCACCGGTCTACTATGAACTTTTGAGACGGCTCTTCCCCTTCTAGAGCTTGACAAAAATCAGCCTAAAATCAAATTACTACTAGGTATTCAAAACTGATGAAATAGTATATATTAGCTTTTTAACATACCTGAATTTTCATTATCATAAGTTCCATTATAGTCCTCATATCTTCAGGTGAACTTTCTAGCGCTAGTTTATCCGTCACGGGATCTGCCATAAAATTATCGAAATCCAATGACTTGGCAGCTACGCCATAATATGAAAAGCCTGCTCCAATTAAAGCGCCGGGGACCAATCTTAAATTGTAAATATATTTATTCATCGATGGGTACTAAATTTATTCAAATTTATCATTCTAACATCAAAACTTACTTAAGCTTATTATCTACGAGTTTGATACAAGCCACTCTGTACACGGATTTAACAGTGGAAGAGATAATTTTGAATATCATTTTAACCACAGAAAATTTTAAGCAGCAACTAACAATACGCAAGAGGTATCCAATAAAATAAATCTTCTAGTCCCATTCGCTTATTATTACTATTATTAGTAAAAATAGCTGTTGTAGATAACTGCAATTATGGTTCTTGTTAATTAATTCTGTATGATAAACTAAATGGGTAAAACAATTAATTAATATCGGTAGAATATGTAGTGTAAAATTATTATGGTACCTAAAGTGGTGCCTGATGAGTGATGATTAGACACGTTGCTTTTAGTCTTCAATGATAATATTATCTTGGATCAGCAGTGATATCAAATTAGAAAGCAGTTTAGCCAACAGATGTTTCCATATGATCTAATACACGGCCTTTAGAATTTCTTTGCCCACCTGATTTTTTGATGATACCTAATGTACTAAAATTATAAGAAAATGACCCATGTAAAAATGTTTTATTTTTATCAAGCAATAATAAATTAAAGATTTTATAACGTTTTTATTTTATTATTTTTTCAATCACAAGCTGATTTTATGAGGGTATCTTTTGAAAATTAAATGATAAGGTATACGTCATTTATACGTTTTGAAAATTAAGAATAATTTGTATTTTGCTGAAAAAGTTGATTGGTTGATAACCAGAGTTTAAAATTTAGGACGGAAAAAAGAGTGTAGTTTAGTATTTTTTTTATCTGCGTTGATTACTCACTCGAACTCCACATCCTGTCGTACCTGCCAAATGCCAATATAAATTAAATTATATCGTATGGGCTATAAATAAAAAAGGTACCTAATATACCACCCATATATATTAGATATACCCTCTATATTAGATTTAACATTTTTGGGAAGGAGAAACGAACTATCTTAATTCTTACTGGAATGTAGAAATAAAACACAATTTATTGCAGATTGAATTTGTACCATAAGTAAAGTAGTTTAATTTGATAGAGTGTTAGATCCAGGTGCGGTTCTAAAAATGATGTATGGGGTAGGAATGATCTGACATGGGCTTACGTAAGTTACATAAGCCTATAAGCTTTGTCCTTCCCACATCAAACAGTGGCATATTCAAGGGAGGAGAGGAGATAGAGGCAATCGCATCCCTCCCCAAAAACTTTATCATCAAACTATTTTGTCGTTTTACTTTTTAAATTGGTATTCATTCAGAAAAAATTGTAAACATAATATATTTTTATTAAAAAAAAAAATGCAGCTATGATTGTAACCGCCATATTATACAGTATTCCACTATACTTGACTGTACTTGCAGGTATACATGTCCTCAACATTTCAGTAATAATATGGCTAAGAACGAAAATGGGCCAACATCGCCTAACCTGCTAAACATCTATCATTAATATATTTAAAGAATCATTGAATCAATAGATGTTTAGAAATTTTTTAAACATAATTTGCGGTCCGTGATTATTTTTTTATCCATTCAGTGTCATAATACAATAAACATTTTATATGTAGGTTTAATAATAATAAAATATAACTTTTATTTGAATTATTCAACAAAGTTTTTGTTCGTTACAATTTTTGGTACATAATTAAATTAAAAAAATATTATGATGGACAGTTTGTTGGAGTTTTTTTTATTATATAATGTATGATATGAACTTTATGAATGCTTTGGAAATGGGACAGGGTGCTTCAGTGTTTTCAGCGAAATATCCACGATTCTCTAAAACATTGCGGCAAGTCGACTACAATGGATTATATAAATCATACCCTACAAGTAAATAAAAACTTTTCAAATACATTTTCATGGAAAGTTTTATTTGTTTAACTTTATCAATGCATGAACTTGATTAATATAAACACATATATACAAAATATAATTAATGATGTTATTAAATGAGTATTGTTAAATGTTTTTTCATAGTTTCCTCGACACGCATGTTTTTTTATTTATAAAAGTAATTTTAAAATGTTTCTTCTACGCTGAAAAAGTGTATACGTATTTGCTGTATACACAATTTAACCAAAAAACATATTTTTAAGTCTGTATTCTCAAACTAACATATAAATTGAAATTATTAAATTAATTAATTAACTAATTATAGAGGATTTAAGTAATATTTAGAATGTTAAAAATTAATTTTTGAATGTTATGGCAAAGTTGTGCTAAATTAGTTTCTGACATTAACAGAGTAATTAGATACCCAATTATTAATGAAATTACTAATGCAATATACAAATAGTATTTTTTTTTTTTTTTATTTAAATATGGCTTCGACTACTAGATAATTAGCCTTTAGTTTACGTTTACATTTTTTAGTACAATATTGAATTTTACAGTTTATTACATAAGTTAATTAATTTAATGAATTTTAGAATGATTTCTTCGTTGTTTTCTTTTAGTGCGTTTTGAATGTTGTTTGGCTGATTGAGTATGTGACGTTCGTTGTTGTAGTTGTTGCATTCTATAATGATGTGTTTCATGGAGATTGGTTAATTAGGGTAGGACATATTGGCTGAGGTTCGTGGTTGAGTAGGTGTGCGTGGGTGAGGTGGCTGTGTCCAATTTGGGTTCTTGTAAGTATTATGTCCTGTCTTCTCGTCAGTGATACGTTTGAAAGCCATTTTTTGGTTGTTGTTTTAATTTCTCTTAGTTTATTACTGGGTGGAGTGTCTTTCTATATATTTTGCCACACAAATAGTATTACTTACTATATAAATAAGAAACTTTCGACAATCCGTACTTATTGTCACTACTCTCGTGTTCTCTTTGATAAATTAAAACGTACATAGTATATTACACTTATTGTTAATTTTTCTTCATCTGTGTCGCCTTATAAAATGCATGTAAGGCAATAGGGTATTTGTTTACAATTTAATCTCTCTTTTATGACATTTAATTATCCAGAGTTCCGTAGTAAGATAAATAATAATATTATGATCAGTCAGTTTATTTGGAAATTAGGTTTGGAAATTATAACACGATATTTAATAGCAGTGAACACATTTTAAATTGTTAGAAATGTGCACTCATGTCTCAATATCCATACTTAAATATTAAATATATCAGCCTGCGCACGCAAAGGGGAACTATTTGTTTTACTTTATGCGTATTAGATTTCTTATTTAAATAAAGTACCCATTATTATATTATACCAAATATCATACGCTTTATCAAGGGCGTATTCGGTGGTTGTGAATTCTATTAAAGTATTTTTAAGCGTTTATTTTGAAATATAAGCGAAGAGTAGTGCGCAAGTTTTATCATAGGTATTAGTTAATTTATTTTATCTGATTCAAATCATGCTATCGGCTATTATATTTTCATAAGCAATATGAAGTAGATAAAAAACAATGAAGTTAACAAAAATAACGCGTATAACATCCCTATATTATTATTTCTTATTATGATTTTAAGATATTAAGCATCAATATCAATAATAATATCAGTTAGCGGATAAAGCAAATTATGGTGCGGTTTGTGGTTCGATTAGGTATTAAACGTTGGGTAGATGATTTTTTGGCATACTGTTGCAAACATAGGTATAGTAACAAGTAATATGTGTATGTATATGTATACATATGTAAATATATATATTTATTTATCATGTACGTAGTATGTATTATAAGTTTGACATATAAGTGCAAAACGGTGTAGTGACTAGTGTATTATATTAGATAATGCACAAGCCGGGTAATTTACTTATACCTACATCGCTGGAACCTAATTTCTCACTTTATTCATAAAGGATTTATTAATAAAACGAAACTGTTGCATGCAAGTGTTATTATTACGATATTATATGCAAGGTATGTGAACGTCTACTGAATTAAAAAAAGGCGAGAACTATAGTGTGTTTATTTTTCATTAGCTAAATCTGTTAGAAATTACAACGTGTACCATGCGCTGTATTGTTGTAGATTAATAATATCGGAGCGTTGAATCTTTGTTTTTCGCCTTATGGTGATTTATTTGAATGTCAACTCTAGCTTCCATTTATATATTATGTAATTACACATTACATAATATATAATAAATTACAGCAAGATTAACACTCGCGTGTTCTACGCGATAACTCTTAACTAGCTTACGTACGTATAATTTGTTTAATTGAGTTTTATGATTTTGTGTAAATGTTAAATTGGACGATTCCTATGAAATATTACCCGTTCGAATGCCGTTGCTGGTGATTTAATGTGTTATGCCATCTACAATTTATTCGTTCGCAGTGTTATCAATAATTGTTCATACAAATAATATTTTTTATAATTTGCCAAAACCTCAGCGTCTCCATAACGACATCAGTCTAAAGTCAAATTTGATATTAAAGAAAAATTCGTGTGCCATGAGAGTTAAAAGTTAACGAACTAAGTTATCAGTTAAAAGTTGTAAATAATCGGTTAACTTAAATATTAAGTTAACAGAAGACTGTTAACTTAACTGAAGTCGAGTTGGCTTATATTATTTTTTTCATAACCTCAAAGGTCTACTTTTAAAGTACGAACTTTTGGTAAATTGAACATTTTTTTTTTAAGAATTGTACCATATTTTTCACGCTTTATCTCCTTTAGAAAATTATGCATTGTTTTTTTATCTATAATTAGTTCTTACCCACGTCCCACGGCCCATCGCGTAATTCGTAGTGGTTTGCGCGAATGAATACTTGTAGATGCTGTGATAGGACTAAGCTTACAACATTTTCTTAAAAAAATAAAGGAGAAGATTATCTATGCTTAAACATGGCAATGTTAAATAGATAAATTAGTTTTATTCTGTACATTTTTTTTGTAATTTCCAATAAATTATTAAAATTAAAAAACGCCTGAGCTCTGATGAAGTTTTCCTTGAAAAATTTCATGGTTTTATAACAATTTCAAGACACTTTGGTTTTGATTTACGCAAAACTATTTTGAAAGAAAAATGGTACTCTCCTATAGAAATTACTGCAATAGTCTGACAAAAAAAAAAAAAATGACCAATTATATTATTACTACATTATGCCAAAAATTTAAAAAGCTCACCCTCTTCGGCCTTCCTCTTTAGAATTGAGAAAACCACCCAAAAATGTACATATTTTTCATCTTAAAATTATCGCGCTTATAACATAAAAAAGGAGAAAATAACAGCAGATATTTGGAAACATTTGTATTATATTGCTAATTTAGATATAATATGGATAACAAAGTCAACAAATTATTATACAAATTACTTATAATCAACCCTAATCGTATCCTGACTAATATTCTAAATATAATTTTAAGCACATAATAGCTTATAAAGTGCTTTTATCGATTTTTTTACTCATACTGTATTTATAGATTCGCATCGAAACGTTTATTTGAAAGTGATTTTGTTATTTTTAGTTTATGTAGACCAGTGACCACTGACCTTCGCCGCCCCATATGCTCCGTGTTCACTATGCCCCGACCCCACTACACTAGGCTTTTTAACATTTTTTTTGTACCTATTTTTTAGAGTTCTAGGGAGGTCCAGAACCCTTGGACTCTCCCGAAAAAATGCCTCTGTCCAGGTATAGAAAAATAGATCACTGTACAAAGTGTATACCTTCTTGGCTCCGCATTAAAACCAGTAATTAATGTTGAAAATATGAGTTTGTGTAATAATCTTTTTCCTCTTTATTCTTGAACAATGTACGATTTGTAACATTATGTTGTATATTATATTATAATGATAATTTTTATTATACATATTAATTATTGTACTCGGTTTCTCTTTGACTTTTTTGAATAGTTTTATGTACAAGATGGAGCGTGATGTTGGCGTTTTTGTCATTGGCCAACGTCCGGCCAGGCCGTGGTGGCGGCGTCCGTTTTCCGGACAAACTTCATTCGGCTGCGTCGGCGGCGATTGTTGGTTTTAATATCTGCCAGGATCGCGCGCGAGATCGGCGAGTCCCAGAGCGGCGTCGTCGGCGGCGGTGTTTCTGCCGCTGGGCCGCCGCGCCGTGCCGCCGCCGTTTAACGATTGGCGACAGCCCGGGATCGGCAGCGAGTTTTCCCCTCACACACACACACACACACACCTCCGCCACTGTGTACCTTTACACGCTCGGCAGTAGAATTTTCCCCACCACCCCCTTTCTCGCCAATCGCCGTATGCACGCGTAGCCCCGTACACCTCCGTGGATGTTATAATATAGTAAACGGAGGCGGTGGACGCGTGGAGTTACGCCGCCGCCGTAACGTATAGTAAACTTTTATCAGCCGCTAGCTCCGTGTCGGGCAGCGGGGAGGGGGGGGGGTGGTGGCGGCGTCACGCACCCGCACTCGGTCACCGGCCGAGCGCACGCGCGTCCACAGTGCCGCCGAGTGAAACGTCGACGCTGCGCGTGTGCCCGTGTGTACTCCGTTACCGTACGCGACACGTTATTTACGCGAGATAACGTTACGGAGAGATAACTACGGTTGCTCCGGTCGACGCGCACACTGCGTCAGTGGTGACTGGTGCCCGTGGACGTTGATGATACATTATTTTTTAGTATTATTTTGTCGATTTTGTTCGTCCTGTAGTGTTGTTTCGGAACGTTTAGTGCGTTCTACGTTCATCAGTTAAAATATTGGAAAAATAATTAATTATTTTATTGCGACCCGTACGGCGCTTATGGGCGCGTTAGTACGTGCGTACGTGTACGTCGTAGGCCGTCCGTAGGAAGGAAACGCGCGGGATATCGTATATGTGTTGACGATGAGTAGAAAATAAAAAAAAATACAAAATTATCGCTTTATAACGCGACGGTGTATGTTTTTTTTTTTGGCGTCGATTTGTCTCCCCAGCCGAGGGACAACGCGATAACGCCACCACCGACTACGACAACAGCGAAAACGATAATAAATAATTTGAATACGATGATAGTGTGGTGAACACTATCCGGACATACGTGTGTGTGCGTGTGTTAGTGCATGTGTATACATGTGTGAGCGAGCGTAGAAAATGAAGAAGTTCACGTTCAAAGGCGTTTTGGACGGCATACGGTCGTCGGTGGCGCCGCAGATAAAGCCCGAGCAGGAGATCGTGGAAACGCTCAGGTCCGACAACTTCCAGGTGGCCAAGGTAAGCATTATAATTAGGTTTTATGTCACTGTTCCGATACGGTTTCGCGGTGAGCGGTGTCGCGCGACGGACCGATTACAGGACCGCGGCGGCCTACAAAAATCGTTGGTCGTTCACAGTCGGCGACAGCGGTTCAACATGTGCGACCATATGGACGTCAGTCAAACAATGCGCCCGCTCCTCGCCGCCCGGCCGAAATGTGGCGCGAGGCATGAGCTTGTTCGCACACCGACGGCTCAAGGTGGTTTACATTCAGATGAGTAGTGGGAGGGGGGGGGGGCTAGACGACAACCGGCTAGGCGGCGGTCGAGCACCGGTTAATCCTCGAGCTTTTTTCTTCTCGTCGAGCGGGGTCTGTGCTCGCTGAAAAAGCAACAACGTGACCGTGTCCGTTTTGTGTGATAAAATGTGTTTTACGACCAGTAAAAAGACTACACACATTTTAGTGTACTTGAAGTAGTTTTTTAAAAACGACGTCAATGATTAAAATTCTCAGTAAAGCCGCATTGTAAAATGTAAATAATGTTGTAACGGTTAATGGTTTTTACATTGATAATACCTAGCAAACCATAATAATAATGAAAATAAAATATATATTATATACAAATGCGATAATGGGCAGCATCATTTCCTTCTTTCCTCGGATTCTTCAAAGCAATGATTTTAGTTTTTCAAAGTGTTCCTATATAGGTTTCCTGTGTTAACATGATGTGTTTTTAGCCTAGGAGTCGATCTAAAATTTTCGTGGACATTTTCGCGTCACCAAATCAAAGCAACCTAGTTATTATTATTATTAATTTGACGATAATAATATTATTACTTTTACTAAATTTATTTGTTCGTTTACTCGGTTTCATTCAGTATTCGTTGTGTCGTATATCTGTTTTTCGCGATGAAAATGAATGTTTACAGTTCAATAATATCCCAAAAACTTGAGTGAACCACGGCAGTACTCACAATTATTGTCATGTATACATCTTACTAGAGTTCTAAGAGAAATTTCGCATCGAAAAACCAGCGGTGAAACTTATCCGTGTTAATATAAGAGTTGAACCTATCATGACCCAAATATTTGAATAAATATCGTGTAACTACTAGTTTCAGTGTTTTACCATCACATAAAATGTTTATGAACCAAATTATTTAAATTAACGGAATATCATGTTATATTCTTATACTTATAAAATGTATATTTTTTATGCAAGTTCCCTTTATTTCAATTATAACTTTCCACATTCTACATGATATTTTAACCCTCAGCACCTGTATACTGTTGATTGCGGTTCGAGGTAAAGTCGAAAGGGGACGACGGACGTTAGTTAGTATAATATGTTTTTGACGCAAATGGTTTTGCCAATATATGTTTTGGCGTTTTATGTATTATGTTATTATACGACCGTGGGCCGTTAAGACTAGCAAAAAACAAAATGTGCATCGAGACGGCTACAGTAAAAGTAAACATAAATTCCGCTTTATTATGTAATGCACCGTAAACGCACGGACAAATAAATGTTACCGTTTTTATTTGTGTTATATTAAATTAATATAATGAAACCGACGCGTTTTTATTGGTTGCACCGAGTATGTCGTATGGGTCTTATGTGGGGTTGTAGTAGCTCCGGTTAGGACCGAGGAAGCCCCAGCGGTACGTGTTTTGACATTCATACAGCCCCCCCCCCCACAGATATCAAACTGAAGTATTTTACCGTTAAATATTTTTACTGTGTTTTTTTTATTAATTTTTAAACCGGTATTAAAATAGCCAGTTAAAAACACCAAATAAATAATTAAGCAATTATATATACAAAAAAAGAATTAACGACCAGCTGGAAAAAAAGTAGGCAAGTATAAATTAATGGCTAGAGATCAAACAAACATATGGAATTAATTAAATATACTTTTACAAGTTTTGTGTTCTGTAATATTCGATTATTTCAACTTAATAAGCTCGTGAACCGTGTGTCTAAAATGTTGTTTAGAAGTAAGTAAAAGATTATATGAATAAGCTACGTTTAATAACGACTAAAATAATAAGAGTAAACTGATTTAAATATATGATTAACGGTAATATGTACCTACACGGTTACCGAGTATACACTCAAAATATGTGTTGCGTGTCTTTATGTATACTTAACTACTTGTACACTACTTTCATTGTAGCTCAGTTCATTAGCTACTAATTACATTCATACGTTTTCGATCTTAAGTAATATTATAGTAGTAAGCCGTTTGTGATTTCAGTTTACTATTCAAATTAAACAAATAATGACATTTTTGAGCAACTGGTATGACATTTTTAAAATGCCTATTTGTGTCAGCCGCTTAATTAAAATTGTGTTTCAATTTGTTTTCAACATTTATTAGTGCGTATCATAAAAACGGATCAAATCATAATGTTTTTATTTCGTAAAGTAACCCGCATTGGTGTACACAAATTTTGTATTGTTTTGTCTATCAAACGTTCGCAGTGTTATGCCAGGTCAGTGATAAAGCACACAATATATTATAATATACAATCCATTCAAGTTATAAGGCTGCTGCCGCCACAATTATAGATTATGAACTGCATTACTACACGCTGGTAAACGAACTACTTAAGTTACTATAGATGCCATAATTTTCCGGTAGTTATGGGTCTTATCTCATCTATTGGGTATTAATGATTGAATAACTATTATTGATAATATTTCAATTGCATTCATTGAGTGTACATTTGTATTACGTAGTAATCTACCGCATGCGTTATTGTCATTTCACTATTTACCCATAAGTTAACGGTTATGATTTTTCCAAGTAGTCCAAGCAAGCGGTGTGTCGTGTCGCGCTTAAATCCATAAGCAGTATCTTAGTAAATACTTGGTTCGTCCTGTTCGTATTAAAAAAAAAACTTATTAATCATTTTGTTTGGTGTTTTTTTTATTTACATAAATAATTTTGTATTTGAAAAAATTGTTGTTGTCTAATTGACAGTGTTGTTTAGTCGTTGTCCGACACAAATTCAAATGCAGCAGGTCTGTGGAAATCTATAGGTCGGCGCACGTTTTTTGTGTATTTGTCACGTGTCCGGCGTTCGGTTAGGTTAAGCTGGTAAAAATATCATTAATTTCCCGTATTGCATACAAAATCAAACGTAACACTATATATCACGGGGGCTAAATTTTTGTTACCGGGAAAATGTACAAAAAGGGCTCAAAGCTACTTCTAAGTACACGGCAGACCGACTGAAGCGATTTTTTTAAGTCGAACCTCAGAAAATGTATTTAGAATGAACATACATAATAAAACGTAGGTATACATCTTGTATTTATAAAATATATAAACATACATTTTCATGAATAGTACAGATGAATAGATTAATGTAGCTATTGTTATTATTAGTTTCTTTTTAGTTTTTACCTTTATGTATTACATGAAATTATCAAATATTAAGTTGTTTTAGTATTTTACAGAGCTCGATCAACTCTTAAAACTCAAACAGTAACGCCATATATATTTTATTAACTTATTAAATTAAAAATAATTTGTCGAAAATTTTCACCGGTCGATAGCCAGTTTTTGATAGTTAATTTTAGTTAAATTTAAGATGGGTGGAGTGTAACTCTGCCACACTACTCTGTCCTAAATGTTTAACTTCAGTTTACCATTTAACTTTTTCGTTGTCTAGATAAGACAGAATAAAAAATAAAAATTTCAGTATGGTAAAACGACACAAACCAAAGCGTTTCCAAAAAGAAAATCTACAAAATTGTGCATTTGTTTGTCGAGAACATTAGTGTGTTATCGCTTATAAACCCTACACCTATAGTGTATTGAGTGTAGAAAAGCCTAGTGGGATTGCAAAAACCACCAAAAAAAAAAGGCAGTGTTGTAGGTACTGGTAACGATTATCGGAGGTCTACGACGCTTCCTATTCGTTTATAGTGCGAACACAAACGCAATCACAACAATCCGCTTTGAAATGGAACACTGCTGGTTTTGAAGGTCGCAGAGCCTTCAACACGCGGCATAATAACAATATATATATTATATGGTACACATATACTTATTATATATATATATATATATGTATGCGCACAAAATATACAATATGGTGTATTTTTAAAGCAGTATAATATACTGTTGTTATTCATTGTGTCTGTGCAACGTTGTCACACTATCATATTATTATGTATGCGTCGATTTGCCCGGATCACAGGTAATCCGACTATGCTGTTTTAGGTGGGAAAGAATTAAAAAAAAAAAACAAGAGTCGCATGCAGTTAACACGCAAATGCACAAACCCTTTTGTACCGATTCTATTAGCAGTAACGTAATTCGCGGTGTACACGGGTCACAGGGTAATCAGAGTAATTTTTTCTACCGGGTTTTAGAAAAAAACGCGGTTAAGATGTATAGGTTTTCTTGGTTAATATTTAAGCTAAAAATATGATGACGACAATTATTATTTTTGATGGTAGCGTCGGAAAATTATTTTTGAATTTTAAATGACAAAGTAAAAATAATTGTATTCGTTTATTTAAACGAGAACGATTTTATGAAAACAAACCGTAACCGGTTTTGAATAATTATTGCTAGGGTTATTTGCAATTTAAAACAATGGGGCGGGTAAGAGGTAAACACTAAACGCGGTAGATATTATTTTTGTCCCCGTGCACTTCTCCTCCTCTGCCAGTAACTTTGCCCTGCTCAAAAAACTGGAGTGTTTATTTAAAACCGACGATCGACCGGTCATTATTTTCATAACATAATTCTGGTTTCAACGGACTAATAAAAAATGTCCAATAGTTTTTCGATATTTTTCAAGTTGCCCTCTAAAACTATCACTTAAAAATATTATTGTTGCACATATTGATGTTTGAGTTAATTTCTTATTTTAAATGTATTCTATCCTCTCTACCTACACTTCAAAAACATCCATTTAAAGGCTTTGTTCAGTGTGTCATATCGACAGTTACAAGCTCCAAGCGTTTGGCAAGTAACATTATTTAATTAGTATTTCA